AAGATGAAAAGATAAAAAGAGATTTTCTTAGTTTTAGAATGTTTTTATCGTGATGAGAAAATTCTCATTATAGACAAATAAATGAGCATTTAATAAAGAAATAAATCAAATCAACGTTATAGCCGTTACAAATTGATCGCTATCTTGATATCCATTAAATCCATTATAAACAATTGCTTCAAATATTTCAAAAGCGCCGAAATATTATACGGTTCTTGCGCTAACTTGCCTCTTTCTTCTTCGTTTGCGCTTCCTATTTCCACAAGAAAATCTTCAAAGGATCTCTTCGTTCTTTATGGCGTACGTTTCACCCTTTTGGTACCATGCAATTCGGTACCTAAAATTGACCGATAAATGGTTGATGCACCACAAAATCTCTTCCTTGTTGCGATTTCGATGCATTAAAAATTTTCAGAGTCTTCAAATTTGAATCAACGTTCTTCCTTGTTAGCTGCAGAGTTATCAAGTACCCTTTATCCCCCTAAGAAATTTCCCATACTCCCCCTTGGTTTATAGTTTAATCAAACGTTTTGACTACGAGAAAGTATGTCACATCACGCATTGTACGATCGAGTTTGAAATTTCATATTTCTAGAGATTTTAGCATTCAAACTTTCACCCTTGCTCCCTCGTTCCCTCCATCTCTGACCAAGAATTTCTTTTATTATGGGCGTGAGATTCAAAATTTTCTTTTGGATGTTATTCAATTCGATCGCATTATCAATCCTCGATGTGGGTTTGACCCACAAACCCTCCCCCCAAGTTATTCTATTGCTCAAATCACATGGCATATTGAGGGGGGGAGGAGGGAGGTGATGCGGGATATCACGTGCCCAATCCAATCATGGCGACTCATTGGATGAAATGTCACTCGTACATGCTCTTGGAATATAACACCTTTCCAATAAAATGTACATGGATTACATCACAAACTTATTTTATTTAATTTTGGTTTAGCTTAGTGTATTTGACAGAGATGGTTGTGTGGGGGTGGCTTTGGTCCCTGCCTTGTGAAGCTAAGGCGAACCTTTCATGTGATGCTCCTACTTTATCCATGTGGTCTTGTGCCCTCGCCCTTTTCTCTTTCCGCGTTCCTTCCATCTTCAACCATCACCATCGCACTCCCTCTTATCATATTGCATGTTCCCCCCTTGAGATTTAGGTTTGTATATATTTTTTTCGTGTACAAATACTTGGGTTGTGCATGAAGATATACCCTTTATGCAAGTTCAAAGAAGGGGTGGATGTTGATAGGACACATCATTTTCAGCGAATCTCTATCTCAATTATGAGTGTATATGTCCTATGTATTGAAGGATGCTTTCGTACATTACGAATTCAAACCATCGAGCGAAGCGGCAATGGGTTTTTTCGCACGAGGAATGTGATAGAATTTGCTCATCGATCTTCCTTTGTTTAAATGAAGTTCTCAGATATCCCTATGTTACCCTAATGCAGCACTTCATTCACCATCTATTGTCTAGGTCTGACTCTAGCCATGCATGTAGACATGAAATCTAGCCTAGCGCAAGTACTGAAATTTTAAGAGGAAGAACAAAAGAAAGAAAAGAATCTAGCACAATGGTTCAACATGCATGAGATCGAGAACATGTAGGCGTAGGCCAAGCTTGAGTTAGCTAGGATACTCTAAACCCTAAGCTGGATTTTTGGAAAAATATTATTGAAGTCATACTAACTTGCCAATTTATTCTTAGATTTGTCCAATTGCATGCATGTAGTGTTTCATTTCCTTCAACAATCTGTAGATCCACGTCGTCAAATCATCAAACCGAGGGCGATTTGAGAGAATTCAGACAATAATGTGGTCTACACTAATTGATAAAAGTTACACCCAATAAAATCTAGCAAAAAACATACGCTCGAAATGATTTATAGTATACGTAATCGAACTACACCACCCGAAAAATATAAAGAACATACAAATACGTTATTCTACACGAGTATGACCGTATGAGTACGACTGGACTTGTGGGACTTTTCCTATTTGAAGATGAGAGACATAAGTCGTGAAAATGATTTTCCTCGTCAAGGAAAAGTGGGGGCTCGCCAACTCTAATCGGCCCGATTATTGGGGATGGTGGGGTCTTCATGGAATTATACGCATCATCGAATGCGACATGACAAGGGGATGAACAAGCCCGTCGATAGCAAATTCTTGTTTAACCCATTCAATGTTCCATCCTCATCAAGATAGGATGATTGCGTTTTCATCCATTTTCCCTCAAAGCACTTCCTATATATAGCATCTAACTATTGATTCGATTATGATAGCTTTTCATGTGACCAGACTCACCTTGAATTGCACTTATCAGCGATCACATTGCATATTGAGTAAAAGTTAAAAGATCATTTGTGTCATTATTCTTATAATATTTCAAGATTTTCATCTTTTGTAATCTCGGATTCGATGTGATTTCTGGTCTTGGGGGTCGATATCTCTTGATGATCCTGAAGATGGGGAGGAGGAGGAGGAGATAGTGGGTTTTGAAGTAAATGTCGTACCAGCTTAGACATAACTTTTTCGGTGAAGATTGTTGCAATTATTCTCTGTAAAGATGAGAGGGCAGCGATGTGACAATTGCACATACAATATTCTTCGGCTGCATCGCTCCGGCAAGACAGGAAATGGAAGTGATAATCCCATAGGACAAAACAAAATTGCATATAAATAACAAATAATCATATGGGAATGCAAAGATCCACGGTCCATCTCAATCAAAATCATTGGCCAATTTCATGATGGAAATTGGGGGAGGGAATAAGAGGTTCGAAACGGTGGATCCACTAGGGTTTTGAGTCCTAAGTCATCCGGATAACCATGTCAACAAAGGAACCAACACCCAATGTGGTTGTAGGGTCACACTTTGTTGCCTACCAATTCCAACTTTTCCGGACCTTCTAAGTCCAATCAAGGTTCTCGATGTATGCCGTATGTGAACGCAGCTCGATACAAGCATCAAGCGGCTCATATGAATGTGCCATACGACTATTTCGCCCTTCTTCTTGGTACCTAATAATGCACGTATTCGGAGGGCCTAGAGCAAGTTTATGTTGTGTTCAGTCGCTAACAGAATATATCGGGCTTGAAAACCGTAAAGATATGGCGTGGAATTGGCGATGAGAAATTATTGTACCATATCGCTATACATTTCATGCGTACTTCTTTCGTATACTCACCTTGTCTTGCATATATATTTTTTGTTTGTGCCAGGCAAGATGGTACAAGATCGATCTTCACCCACCACCATCTCCACATTACCTCTGACACTGAAGGAATTTCCTGGAAATTCTATGATCACCATCGAGGGGCAACTGTAGCGCAAACAAGGCATAATAAAATATGCATTCAATGCATCTAATTCAGCACGTAATAGTAGTTGGCACTCCAAAGAATTTAGGACCGGACCCAACACTAGATCACTTCGCATTGTTTAGCACAAAAGAATAATTCGAGAGATCATCCATAAACCAGCACACGATTCCAAAAGATAGAAATAAAAATTCTTGGACGGAAAAAAAACAAGAAGAAGAGGGTACAAGAGTAAGTGAGATTCGGTGAGTACTACAAACCGCACGAAGATAATTTTTCAAGAAAAAAGAACCGATTGCGTCCCAGAAAACTAAAAATCGAAAACATCGTGTGAACATGTGGCCTAGGTTGCATGTACTTAATCACATATGATCTAAAGATAAGTGAGAAGCACATCGCATTCGCGTTAATTGGGGTACGGGTACAGGCACCATGTGGGATCGCTGTCCGAAGTACTATGTCTCTAGGGCTTCGTTGATGTCCATCGCTGTCCATGTTCATCTTCTTCTTCTTCTTCTTCTTTTGTGCTTTGGTTTCATCAATGCTGCCACCGTTTCTGCCCAAAAACCAAGAGGAAAAATTTAGAAATCATTCGTCAATTTTAAAGTATAGGAAGTTTCATCCGCCACGCAGGGAAAAAGGGCAAAAAAATGAGACGAATTCTAATTTAAGTGGACCGTCGAATTTGGACGTGGCTGTTGCGTGGTCCGTTGGGTGGAAAGTAACATCGACATGGCAATTTAGACATTTAAAGACCACCCAATTGCACCGAGGAAAGACCTCGGCATTTCCCCGCAGATAATGGTGAAATTGTCCTGCCCACTGAGTGCAATGTATGTCCTCTAGCCAGCATGAAAATTTATAGACATTTACGTCCTACGAACGCGACCTCCGGGTTTGGCCGGATCGAGGCGGTGGGTGTCGCGATCGAGCGTCTGTGCAAGCCGATTGGAGATATTATTTGACCTTAGCGAAACGAGGATACCGCTGGAGACCCTACTGAGCTGGCGATGCGGCTGAGTCATCGGTAGTTGTTGAGCAAATGGAGCCAGAAAGCATTTAGGACTCGGACCTTAACCTTAATGAGACTTACTGCGCGTCCGAGAGCATAGTACACCGCCCAAATATTGAGTAGGTAATTTGATTCTACATGAGTTGGAAATTCACTTTATGTGTAGAGTTTCAAGTAAGGCCGCGTCATATTTGGTTGACTCCACCCTGTACTTGATAGAGCCATTCCTTCTGACGATAATTCTGGATGAAGCTAATTAATGGACCACCTACCAAATCAACAGCACTAACAACGGATAATCCATGTTTTAATCAAGATTGCCAGCCTAGATATTAGCACTAATCAGGAAAAAAAGAAGGTGGCATAGACCCTAACCAATCTCAGCAGATTCCACACTAAAATTGGAAACCTAAGAGCAGCACCGTGGCTGCAGTCATAAGTTGCTGTATCCAAGTAAAATTCATCCATGTCAAAGTACATTTAACCTCTGTGGGGATCGGATCTCCCTCCATGTGACCCCATCAAAATAACCTTAAAAAGTGGTAGAGAAAAAAAGGGAAAGAAAGGTCAAGAAAAAGAAGGAAACTTCAGGGGCAAATTGCAAAGTGACCAGTAGGATCTGGTGGAATAAAGAAAAGAATAAATGATACAGATCCTCCCCTCTTCTTTTCCTATCATGTCCCAAGGATAAGGAAAGAGGAGCATGATGCTGCCATTGGAGGGAGATGTGAACGATAGAACAGTTGAAAAATGAGAGGATTCCAGTTGCACAAACCCCGCGTTTTCTTTAAGGAGGAAGAGTAGCTTGAATTCTGGGGTTTGTTTACTTTGGAATTTCTAATTTTTCTCGACACTGGCCTGACACAGACCACATGGCCATGTAGAGAGATGTCCAGCTTCAAAGTTCAGACCCACCCACATTACTCTGTCCACATGAAAGTGGAGGAGGACGGATTGTATTGGGACCAGGAAAAAATTTTCAGATCTGACCCACACTTTCCCACCTCCAATTCATTACTAGATTGCTGGATAGCTTCTCTTTCTTTTTCCTCCTTTCTTTAATCTTTGTGTGTGTGTGTGTGTGTGTGTCTCTCTCTCTCTCTCTCTGTCTGAAATAAGAATAAGAAAAGCCTGTCACCACTTCTCATTCTCTCCAGACTGATGTGAACATTTGCTTACATAACAAACGTTTCACATTACATCACACCTCCCTCCCTCTCCCTCTCCCTCTCTCTCTCTCTCTCTGTCTCTCGAGTAATATAGACTAGCTTCTCAGCAGCCTTTTTTATACTAGAGAGAGCCAAAAAGACAAAAGTGTTACTTTGTTCTGCGAGGAAACCCAGAAAACATCTCTTCTTGAGTCTGCGGAAAGGAACTTCACTGCGCTAAAATGGTCCTCGAGCATGGCTCTGGATTCTAGCTCCTTCAGTTTCTCATTGGCTGATTTGATTCTTTTTTGGGTCCCCTCCCCTTCATACAATCCTACTTCCTGAATTTCACCGAAAACTTATCTGCTTACGTCGTTCTTGGAAGTCCATTGTCCTGTGTTTTGATCCCGTGCAGAATCATAGGATTTGGTCTCTTCTGTTATCTTCATTTTCATCTTCAATTGTCCTTCCATTCTCATCCGTCACAGACTCTCTTAGAGCCCTGAGAATAAGAAAGCAAAGCAGAAGGAAAATGCATCCATGCTGAAATGCATGCATGATTGTGTGCTTTGGAATGCGAAATTCAGTGCTCTCCTAGTTTACACGGAGTTTCTTCTCCTTCAGTTTCAGAAACACATGCCTGCACATAATTTGTAGGTTTGGTATTGTGAGCGCACAACATGTCCACGAGAATCCTTTATTCACTGACAGATGACAAGGCAGGAATGCAGAAGCAAATTGGGTGTATGAATGGGATCTTTCAACTCTTTGATCGTCAGAATTTTCTCTCGGGCAGACGCTTAAATGGCCACAGCCACAAGAGGCTTCTTGCAGGTAAAAATCTCCTTGGAACCCTGTGGCCTTTTCATCTAAATTTATCTCATGGTTTGTCTATATACTCTTGAAAAGCAATTCCATCAATATGGCTGCGCAGCAATCGTGCACGACCACCACAATCCACATTGATTCACTTATTACGGATTTTCAACTTTTAGCTAGCATTGTCATGGTGTAAATTTGCTCACTTGATAGAAGAAAATTGTAAAAACACACCGCAAGCCGTGCTCTGCAGAAGCCAGAGGAAAATGTTGAAACATTTGCGAGGATCAGTAGTTAGAATTCATGCAGATTAACGATGAGCCAAATGTGAATCGGAACTCGTTGGAGAGAAAAGAGTTCTCTTAAAACTTTTTCCTTTTCAATGAGAGGCCCCGCTACAAGAAAATGACATGGTGTGGATGAGTTGATAAGGGCTGAATATCATCCTTGTGACTCATGAAAACATTTACACACTGATAATAACTCAGTTAGCTTGCATTCCGATGTACGTAAATCTTCTTCAGTGCTGCAAAAGACATCTAACTTCCGGCATTTCCTCAGGTCAAAATGCCCCTGTTGATGCAGAGGAAGATGTAGTATCACAGAAATCTGCGGTAAGTCATGCAAAAACCGAAGCATATAATCAGAGCTAAATTTCCACGACATTGATCAGATAAATTACCAATGCAGGTGAAGAACTCCAAAGCAACAAAGTTTGAGAGACACAGATTGTCATCTGATTCCTCAAGAAGCTCTGTCTCCTCTTCATGTAATTCGTCTAGTTTCTCCTCGCTTGAGGAGAATAGACCAGCAAAGTCAGAACCATCTTTGGTCAGGCTAAGCACAACCCAAAATAATCAGCCGCACGACTCACCACTCCGCCATTTAAATGCTGCTGAGCATTTGAGTGGACGATGCCTTGACCTCACTGATATTGGCAAGGGCTCCAATCACAGAGAAGCTCTGGGGGTTTCATTAAGGCCTCCAACCAAAGATAAAGCAGCTACTTTGACATATATAGACTCGCCTAGGCCACTAAAGCCGTCAAAATCTGTTAAATCAAAAACTTCTTATGTGTCTGAATCATTCAGAGTTCTGCCTAACCTTCCCCAACCTCAGACTTCAGCCGAACAGATGGAAATCGACAGTTTTTGTTCTTTGTCTAAGAAGGATGCTCCTCGTTTCTCTTATGACGGACGAGAATCAAGGGATGCTTTGAAGTCCAACTTAAAGCTGAAAGAGCCACCCAGGCATTCATTGGATAGCAAGAGAGGATCCATGTCATTTTCCTCTCAAAGTCAGCCGCGTTATTTGCAAGGGAATCATCAAAGGGTGAATCACAGTATGGATCAAACTGTGAATTCACCCCAAGAACTACGGAGCCACATGAGGCAATCGGGTGTGGTAGCGAAGTTGATGGGGCTGGAAACCCTCCCAGATTCAATGTCGAACTCCAAGCTTCAGGTGGGGCATAGCAGAACCAACTCAATTGAAGCATTTGATCCCTTCTCCGTTTCATCGAGAACACTTGATGGAAACAAGCCTGCTCTACTATCTGGCTCCCCAAGGAAGAGCCAAAGGTCAGCCATCTCACAACAGGAGGCCGCTGCAGATTCAGTCATGAAGTTCAACCCAAGTTCACAGTTTCCAATACAAGCAACTGCATGGAAGAGACCAGAAGGAAGCCAAAGTCCTGCCCTGCCGGTCCCCGAGTCTACTGCATCACATCCAAAAGAATCAAATTCAACCCTCTCAGTTTATGGAGAAATTGAGCAAAGATTGGCACAGCTTGAGTTCAAGAAATCAGGGAAGGATCTGAGAGCTCTTAAACAGATACTTGAAGCAATGCAAAAATTCAAAGAGACATTGGAAAACAAGAAAGATGTCCAGGCATCAGAGTTTATGCTTCAAGCAAGCAGTTACAGCTCAAGCAGCAGAGCAAGAGTAGCTCCCTGTGGAAACATAAAATCTGAAGCCCCAGATTCACCCAGAATCAAGAGAATCAGTTCCCCAAAGAATTTGCAATCCACAATTGTTACCGTGAAACAAGATAGAAGTAAAGAAAAACTGAACATCCCTGGATCCCCTGTCAATTCCCCATCAGGTCTCGCCAAGCTCCGGATCTCTCCAAGTAGCCGGAGAAAATCAGTTGAGCAGCAACAAAACGAGGATCTTACTCCAAGAAAGGTTTCCAGTAGGCAACCCCATGTCCTGGACAGAAGAATTGGTTCTAGAAACACATCGACGCGAGTAGCAGTAGAGCACCAACATGTTTCTGAAAACACCAGTTCTTGCAGGAATTCAGGAGCTTCAAGCCCACGGCTTACGCTGAAGAAGTCGAGGGCAATAGATGCTCAGAGGACAAGTAATCCAGGGAAGCCAACAAGAGAACCACGCTCTCCAGGGAGAACACCCAAATCCAAAACTAACCACGTGCCTCTTAGTTCTGACCAAGGGAATGAGAACAGCAGCCATTCAAGGGATCTCAGCGACCAAAACAACACCATTTCTCTGCAATCTGCAGCTAGTATGGACTCTCAGGATGACACAGAAGTTTCCAGTGTATATAGCTTTGCTGAAATCCGTGGCACACTCCCTCAAGATGATCAAACCAGAAAAGTAAGTTGCTTTCCTTTAATTAAAGAATGAAACATTATCAATAATACATGCTAAATGTATTTCATTATCTCCCATACAGAAAACAGTCCACACGAGAGAACAGGAATTAAGCAGGAAACTTGGAATACCTACAACAGAACAACCAAGTCCAGTCTCCGTCCTTGATGCATCATACTTTGAAGACGAAACACCATCACCAGTGAAAATGACCTCAGAAGCCTTTAAAGGTAAATTGCATTCATAAATCCAAAAATGTTTTCTCTGATATGTAATTATATTGACTCAGAGAACATGATTCACTTGCTGAAAGTGCTCTAATTTACTAATATAATCACACATGTAAAGATACACCAGAAGTTCACAGTACAACTGAAATTGCATTGCTCAGCTTTAGTGTCTCACGTATGTGAATGCATTTATATTCTTTGTTCATAGAGGAGAGGAGGAAGAAAAGTCGTATTGATTCTGCAATTCTTTGGAAGAATGCAAGACTGAACCAATTTCTTAAATATCCATTTTGTAGATGATGAAGTTTCTGGCGAGGTAAAGTGGAATTTGCAAGAGCTAAATAATTCATCTGACAGCAAAAGAAGCAGCTTTGGCTCAGCTATCAACCAGAATAGATTAGTCAATCTTCCGCTGGTTCAGAATGATATAGAAGTGTTCTCCACTAACCCAGGATCTGGCACTGCATTCCCAAGTGAGGGCACAAGCTCGGATCATGCATACATTTCGGAGATATTGTCAGCATATGGTCTGCTAAGCGATCTTGATTCTGGATTAATGACCATCCGGCTCCACCCATCAGGACACCTGATTTCAGGAAACTTGTTCCACACACTAGAACAAACCAAGGCAAGCAACAACATTTCAAGTGGAGATCAGGCCAGGGAATGCACTGTTCAGACAAAACAAGGCGAAAAAATGCGAAGAAAACTGATATTCGATGTTGTTAGCGAGATCTTAGTGCATAGTGTACTATCAGATTATTCCAGGAACCAGTTCTCACCAAATAAGCTGGCAGGGAGAAAGACAGCACAACAGCAGCTCTTGAAAGGGTTGTGCTCTAAGATAGATCAGCTTCAAACTGACCCCCCAAATTGCAGGTTTGATGGGGAGGACGACGATTTGAGGACTATCTTATCAAAAGATTTGACCCATCAAGAGCTGCACTGGACAGGTTCTAACGACATATCAGGAGTAGTCTTGGACATTGAGAGATCGATCTTTAAAGACTTGATTAGTGAAGTAGTGAGCAATTTGGCAGCCGGTCCGCGACCCCAACTGACAGGCCACCGCAGGCAGCTGATTTTCAAGTAGCACCTTTAGTGTGTTTTCCCGATCCTTCCAGTCGTTATGTTTCTGTAAATCTCTTCTTTCCCTTGGTGAAGACAAAGGGATCAAACTTTTCTTTAACATAATAAACAGTACAATACTGACAGTGTGATTGTGCTCTTCCTAGCCAGTGAATACCTAATACAAGCTCCACCTAAATGTGAATACTCCTCAAGTCCTCATCATATACTGTTTCAGCCCTGCCAAGTTTTTGTCCATCTCTTTCAGGAGTCGCACTAGCTGGGTCCTTCTGCATATTTTCTTTTGCCTATTAGCCCCCTCCTCGTGTGTGTATGCACATGGCGGCAGCACGCGGTGCGCTTTTCTGCGGTCTGCATCGACAACAAATCTGTAGTCTGCGCGCGTCATGAAGGCAAATACAATCATCTCGACCCGCAATGATCATTTGATCCTCAGATACCCAACTAAATTGCATGGAGACGCCCCTCGTTACTGAACCATCACACCTGAATTCCTTAACCGGAGAGAAGCGCTGCGACGCGAAAGCTCGAACCCAACGAGGCCACTGTCCTCACCCTTCCGCATACATTAGCGCCCCAGCCATTCCATTTATAGCTTCCAGCTTCACACAGACGACTCACGATTCCCCGAGAATCACTAGCAGGTTTAGTTTTCAGAGTGCTAGTGCTGCGGAACCCGGGTGCCTCGAACATCTCCATATTCAACGCAAGCCACCAAGATTCAGACGAACATAGACACGCATTCTGATTCAATCCCTACATCTTGTCCAGCTCTTGCGAAACACGAAATCCGTTAACTCGATGATGCGACAGCGTGTCGCATCAAACATCTTCTTCTTCTTCCTCCTCCTGTCCTTCATCGTTCGACCTCATAACCTGCTCGCGCTAGACGAAAATCTCGATCGAGACGAAAATGTCGAGGCCATGTCAGATCGTGCCTTTGGATCTGCAGAAGCGCCGAGCCACGAGCTTCAATGGCGGCAAAATCCTTGAGGGGCAACCTCTCTCTTTTGAACTCTCTTCTCCAATGTTTATTTTTTTCCGCCATTTACCGTTATGCGATACAAGAATTTCTAACAAGTTTATTCGTTTATTGCACGGAAAACGAATGATTTAGAAAATATTTTCTTAAAAATAATCACTTATATTGCTTGAGATAATTAGTCAACGAAAAATGCTTTCATTATCAACAACAATTTATGTATAAATATTTTTATGGATGATGAAAATATATTTCATTTATTCATTTTTGTGAGCGATACAAACGATCATTTTTAGAAAAATATTTTTTCAGATCATTCATTTTCCGCGAAATAAACGCACCCTAACTTTATATTCCCGATCCAATCGAAGACAACTCATCCATGTCGGGTTATGAAAATTCATAAGAAATTAAGTTGCTCGATTCAATGGTTGCAAGAAGACTAGCCCGGCAAAAATCCAACATGAAATCCCATGCCTTTTTCGGCGCGAAATCTTGAGAGGGAGAATGACACCGTGGATACTTGAATTTCCAACTACATAATTTTTTTTTTATAATTCGATCGATTAGCTTAACTCAATGCGAGGCCTCCGTTAAATAAATTGCCGTGTCATATGATTTTGCCTGAGACGGCTCGCTTGCTAGGCAAAAGTTCAGCATGACTGGTGACATGGCTCACTTCCTCTAGGGAAAAAAATTGCGTCGTCTCCATTCAAGTTGTGGGTGATGAGGAGAGAGTGGGCGCGTCGACTCGAACGGATTCAGTCGTCTAATACGTCTCTGCCGACGTAGCATCATCCCCGGTGGCCACATTAGACACAAGTGTGGACAATTAGTGACTATTTAACGGCATCAATGTCCATGTTGGCATTTTCCCTTTGTGATTTTACAGAGGCCTAACATCGACCCGTATTTAAAAAGCCGATGTGATTGATTAAAAAGTATGTGTATATTTATGAAGATTATGATTAACATACCAATGGTTAATATTTGTGCAGACATCCATAATAATATTATTGAGCTAATCCGAGCTAAAAAGTCCCTCCATTTGGGCAACTTAATGCAGTACTAATGTTACTGTCGACGTGCTCAAATCCTAAACCGTTGAAAAAATCGATCAATGTGTTAAAGCTTGTTTTCATCAGAGGAGTTTTCTTTTTATTAGAGATGAAAAGATAAACTAGCAATTAAAGAAAATGGAAACTCAAATGAAAAGTTGTTGAATTTTAGAAAAAAAAAAACTCAAATGAGAGTTGGTATTGGTAACTTAGTAGGAGAAAAGTTAAGTGACATGAATAAAAGTTTGTCACTTAACTAAAAATTGATAATTTCATATGATAGTTGGTTAATTTAAGTTATTGATAAGAAAAGGTAAATAAAAGGTTAAAAATGACAAGAGCAGGCTTTTCTTATTAGAGATAGGAGAAACCGACAGTTTAAAAAAATAAACATTGGCAACTAAGTCAACTAAGTGTTGGTATTTGACCACAAAAAGAAAAAGTGTTGGTAACCTATTCGGAGAAAAGTTGGTAATCATTTTATTGAAGCCGCTATTTTTCTAAAAAAAAGTTGAAAAATCTGAAATACACTAAGTATATTAAAAGTGACAACTCAATAATAAAATCGGTAAGTTAAAAAAAAGAAGACAAATATATGTTGGTAAGCAACTAAAAAAAGTTGGTAAATCAAAATTAGTGGGTAATTTAATGGGAGAAAAGATAGTAAGTCATACAAATAAGAGATGACGAGTTAAAGTATTTTGTAAGAAACACGAATAAAAGTTGATAAAAAGAATCAAATAATTGCTGGTAAATAACTTAAATTATAAAAGTTGGTAACCAAAAATTAATTTGCAATTCAAGAAAAAAAAATTGATAAATCACTCATATAAGATTGGCAAATTCATATAAGAGTTGGTAAGTCTAAGGTGCTGTGAAGAAATCATTCAAAAAAAGTTGGTTGGTTAAACTTCAATTGTTATGTAGTTATTTAGTATGCTCTAATCAAACAAATTAATCGATACTTATTCGCCTTTCATGAGGTCGAATGTTCGATTCTTACCATTATACCTCTCTCCTTAATACTTCAACGGAAAGTGAGATGTGCTCAAAGCCACAAACTCGCGGTTATTAGTAAAATTATTGTATCGTCTCGATTTGACTTAAATAGTCATATTAGTTGTCATGTGCATTATAATCATTCACATTTAAAAATATCTAATCGGTATGGCAGAAATCAAGTACATGTATGAACACTCCAAGATCACTAATTTCAGGTACTGTCCAAAAATTATTTTTCTTCTGTACAATTAAGGACCACTTAGATTGGCCAGCATTAAGGGAAAAAATAACTAAAAAAAATTATCTAAATACCGTATTGCCAATCACTCGATCAAACAACACATCCGTGCAAAGAGAACCATAATTTAGAGCTTAATTATTACATGAATTACCTTCACCTCCCTCATGGTGGCAAATATATGTGTGTGCATATATATAAATAATTGCTTCTGCACCAAATGCAATAATTTACCTGGAAATTTGGTCATGGGTCTTGATTTGGCTGGTCACTTCCAAAACTGTTGTGTGAATGAAGACCCTCCTCACTACAACTCCCGTCAAGATGGGAGGCTCTCATGAACCTCGGATGACTAGCAGGGATGAGAAGAGGTGGTGCAAGAGAACTTGGTAGCATGTTGTGTGAATTAACTGAGCTCACAAGTTGAAAATGATGATTGATGGGTCGAGGATCACTATTGGACTCCGTCGAAGTGGCGAAAAGCGAAGGAAAATAAGATGGTGTTGGCGCGGTAGCCGCTCCAGGAGGGCACAGGAATATCTGAGAGCTGCCTGAGTGTAGAGAAAATGGAATGACATTGTTGACATTCTGATGACGAAGGTCTCCAATTTGGGAGGTGAACCCATGGATTATAGCTGAATTAGGCAATAGTGACATGTTTGGAGGCTCCAAATGGAAGCTTGAGCTAGTTCTTGACAAGAAATAGTTTTGTGCTGGGACTTTTGAGGCGCCACAGTCATTGGGTTCCTGATCTTCTTCCTGATGTTTATCAGAACATGACCAAGTCCTTGATCTTGGTGACTTGACCAACCCATCTTTGTTTGATGAGTCATCTCCAACAATTTCATGAGATTTTGATAGGACCGATTGATGGATTTGATGACCTAACATGTGACCTGGTTGGATCAGTGGGAGAGGAGGCAGCTCATCAATCTCGTGCTTAGCAGCATCAAGCAACCAGTCCACAACCTTGCTTGGTTGGCTGAGCCCTAACCTATCTTGAAGGTCATAGAGCTGAATTGCAGTGGGGACTGAGAGCCTGACCCTCCTGTCTCTCAACCCTTTGATGGTGCAGACTTTGCTGTGCCGGTCCTTGCCTCCGAAGGCTCGTGAGACACGGACGATCCTCGGGTCTCTAGTCCTTAACCAGTGCGCAGCCGAACCGGACGACGGTGAAGCCTTGAGGATCCTGTGGTTGATGCTAGCAATCTTTTCCTGTCCTGGCAGTGAATCCGCTTCCTTTGGTTCTATATTCATCATCATTGGTCTTCCATTAGTGCAATATCTATATTAACAACTCAAAAGAAAGGGGTGTGCATTCGTTGGTCCGGTCATTCGTCAATTTCCTTTTCAGTTTTCAAATCTGCTGCAGATGGACTCTTCTTGAGCTTTCTTGTGACTGTCTCTTCTTGAAATCTGTGAAGCAAAGAAGACAGATTCAGTTTGTGTCAATTTTGAGTTTTTAGCCATCTTCTACATCCTTGAGATAGAATTCAAAGAAAGATCAGTATAAACATCGAAAGACTTTTTTCTTGGCGCTATTGTTTGCATGGAAATAAAGGAGAGTGGAGAAATTATGGATATTCTGGAGAAAATTTTCTCAAATTCGTTTGGATTATAAGATTACACCACCAAAATCTGCTTCTTACATGTCTATGAAACTGAACTGGTAGTCCAATGGACATCAACAAAAAAGTGTAAACACGAGTCAGTGATGCAATTGCAAACTGAGTTATATTCATCAGCTTGAATTAAGCAAAGAGATTCACTTTGCTGATAAACGAAATCCAGATCTAGAATTTATAGATGAAGGAGCAATAAATAAGATGACTTACAAGAACTTGGAGATTGCAGTGATAAGTTCCTGATATGTGTAGCACCGATCAGCTCGAAGAGCTTGATTATACTTCTCTGAAGAGAAAATTAATGGCATCCAGCATGTCTTCCTTCTGTGCAATTAATTTCCGTGTGGACACAGCTCTATCAAATCGAAAACAGCCTCAGAAAAACGTGGAGAATAAGTTGAGCGCTGAAGTTCTTAGTCATATGGTGAAAAGGAAGATGCTGAATTCAACAATGTACAAGCTCTCTTAAAAGAAAACACGAAAAAGCAATGGGGCATCCTTTGCCACGTGGCGTTTCGTGACATCCTTCAAATGGAACGCGCTAACCAATGACATATCGCATTCTCAGTCGTCCTTATAGAGCAATCATGGGCACAAAAGAAATAAATATATATGATGAGGGGCTAATAATCACCATTTTCTAAGTGAGATGTTGTCAAGAACACAAAAAAGATTCCAGCAGAACTTAACAATCACTTATAAGCAAACAAAGATTGATAATTGCGACTAGGGGACCATTCTACAATATATATGAAAAAAGTGATGCACAAAGCTTTATCGACAACTACAAAAAGATCTTTGGCTGAATTCCTATCTTATGGTTATATGTGAGGCACGCTTAGTACTGAGGATAATATTGGTAGTGATGAAAAGTGAAACGAGAAAATACGGCTTGAAGATATATCTTCTCTCTTAGCAAACTTAATATGGTTGTGATTTGTTGAGCACCCACCAAACCCTTTTTAACAATTAGTATCATGCCATAAAAAAATTTGCAGCGAGATCACATGGGCAAGAAGGATGATTCCAGAAGACAAAAGCAGAAATTCACATAAATAAGTCCATTTCATGGGCTCCAAAAAAGTTGTGGCCTATAGTTACTATGCAATGTCATCTTGATGTGTATGATGGCTACTGAGAGAGAGAGAGAGAGAGAGAGAGAGAGAGAGAGAGAATCCAACCTTAGAGGTGAGGGACCAATCTCACTGATTCTTTAATAAAATCCCCTCAGAAGAAAGAGGACCACACGAGAGACTTTTTCCCTCGAGGGGGGGAGAGAGACAGATCTTGAATTGTGCACAACTTGATGTAAACAAGCCAAACACAGCCAACAGACAGGTACAATTATCAAGTAGTTATCTTTTCATAACCTAAAGTCTCTTGAAATAGTCATTAACTTTGAAATGGAAGAGAGAGAGAGAGAGAGATTCGACTTTTTGGACATAACTGATAGAATCTAGGTAATGCGTTTTTCTCTTTCTTCAATTTGGAGAACAGAGAGGTTGCTGTTGAGCCAAACTTCAAAACCCTAAAGAGTTCTATCCATATAATAAAGCTTAGCTTGTTATTATTGTTCCTGCTAGCCCGCAAAACTAGCAGAAACCCTAATGGTAAGTTGTCAAGTAGTTTAGCTCATCTCTCCAGAGGTAAAATGGCAAGACTTGGAGTAAATGGGGAAACCATTTTACAGCAACATAGCAGATTTTCTTAGGGCTTTCATTTTCCCAGCTGGAGGAGTAAACATATACCCTAGTCATTCAAAATGATGTGCTTCTCTATCTAGCTATTTGGTAAGTGAAAGTAGCGTGGAGTCATCCGAGTTAATGTCTAATTATCTTCAACCCATAAAAACATGGATTATTTTTGTATCATCTTAAAGATTATTTAGCTTATTATAGTACAAGATTAAGATGTTTGAGAAGAGGATAACTTACTTTTTTTAGTTGGAGATTAAAACGCATTGTAATGGAAGGCTTGAATTTACGAAATAAAATCGGGGCATTACCATAGTATAAAGCTCAATTAGTGGATAACCAGCTTTAATTATATAGAAAATGAGTATCTTGATGGAGGTCTGCCAGTTGCTAGGAGTGGAATTAGCTATAGTGAGCTAAGACATTGAACTTATGGAAGGATTGATCTCTCTCTCACACACAGACACCCACATTTGTTTATGCAAAGATTGTTTCTCTATTTGTACTGTCTCTCAAGTTTAGCAATATATTTTCAGATAATAAGGGAAGATTCAATTCTATTGCTATACACTTGTTAGAAGCAAGAAAAGAGAAGCACTTCAGGGTATCCAACTCCCGATGAAGAACCAGCTGAGCAGCGGGGAGAGAGAGAGATACCTTTCACTTTAGAAAGCATTTTATAAACATGATGCCACACATCCAATCGACTGTGTTATGTATTGTGGTTTATAATTAATAAGTATTTTCAAGCGATGACCTATTTGAATGGATGACCACACATTAATATGTTAGTGATGTGAAGTTAATGTACTTTTGTCTTTCAAAGTTTCAACGTGAAAGCTGCATTTTTCTTTGTATATATTTTATTGCACAAGAGACACAAAGTATTCAAAATTCAAGCAAAACCTATTTGCCGGTTGCACATAATATCGGATTTGGTATCCTAATCTGTACTTTTAATGCTTATAGAAAGAGCATTATAAATGAAACTAATATGTTATGTGACATACTGACGCGATGCCACATATCTAAATAAGTATGTTGCCTATTATCATTTGTAAATATGCACATTGAAAATGATGAATCAATTGAAGGGATAGTAGCACACACGTCAACAGAGAAAATTACCAAAAAAATCATTAATCTTTTTTACGGATGTCAATTCAGTCCTAAATTTTTAATTTGATCAATTTACTCCTAAACCTTTTGACGAATTGTCAATTTAGTCATTTGCCCAATTTTGGGTAGCAACTGCTGATGTAGACAAATTTTGAAACTTTTTAAAAAAAATTTGAATTTTTCCTTTTTTTCTTTTATTTCTTCTTTTCCTATTTCCCTCCACCAGTCACCCTCGCCCGTGGCCAGTGAGCTTCGTTGGCCTTCACCAAGGCCCAGAGGGAAAAAAGAAAAAAGAACGAAAAGAAAAGGAATCAAGAAAATTTTAGATAAATTGTCAAGATAGTTACCGTCAACGATTTCCAATCAATTTGGCCGGAATAACTATATTGGCAAATTATCAAAAGATTTATGACTAAATTGGATAAATTAAAATATTTAAAACTGAATTGGCATTCATACAATAAGTTTATAATTTTTGTTTGGGTAATTATCCCTACGCAACATATCAAATGATATAGCAGATCTCTCTTCTTCTTTTCTCTCTCTTTCACTTGGTTTAGGTTTAGGACTGGGTGCTTACTGTTTGCAGGATGAAGAGGATGTGTGAGAAGAGAAAAAAAGGTCACTTCTTCTTCTCCCTCGTCTTCTAGGGTTTACTGATACTGAGAAGCGTTGAGCGGGAATCTCGAGAGAAAGAGAGAGCACAGTGGAAGGTTCAGTGGGTAAGTGAAGAGAGTGTGAACTGTGAAGTGCAGTTGCTGCAGATCCACAGCAACAAGAGAGAAGAGATACATCATTATTGTCACTCAATGAATGGTCCCCCTGATCCTAGACACCCCCAGTCTCTCTTTTCATTCTAAAATGATTTATCATTCACGTTTCTCACTTTTTCCCAAGAAAACTCTTGCAGAGAGTTATCACCCAAAACGAAGCCCGAGCTCTGCTCTCTCTCTCTCTCTCTCTCTCTCTCTAAAAAGAAACCTTCAACGCAGACACCCCACCCACTGATATTTTCTGCTTCCTCCATCGACATGGTCAGCCTTTGTGAGCCGTGTACGATGTTATTTTGTTTCTTTGTTTGGACCCCAGTCGTATCCAGGAAGTGAATCTTGGAAGGCATCGAAGAGAAAAATCACGTTCTTGTACTGCTAATTGTCTTAATCCCCATCCATTTTGGGGCCTTGCCTTATCTACTTCAAAGCCGTCCATGAATTTTCCAGCACTAAAAATCAGGTTTGTCTTGATTTGGACTCGTTCCTCCGCTTGACCAAAGCCAAAGCACAGCACATGCCGATAGATTTATATCAAATCAACCAATGCGATTCGATTTGATATGTTATTTGCCGCACTATTTATCCATGTGCCTTTTGAACTCCAAAACTCGAGTTAGAAACTAAAAAATAAAACGAAAGAAAAAGGGCATTGGAATTAGGTTATCTAAAAATCGTTCGTACTAATATATAATTTAGCTAGCAAAGGTTTTTATGTCCTAAATTTCTCGAGTGGATTAGGTAAAGCACTTTCCATCGGCCGTTTATATGGTAATTCGATTGTAATGTGCAAAACAACGTTGTTTAAACTCAATATAATCAATGCTGGGATTACTCTTTCTTTTTTTGCTATCATTAATGAAATAGCATGTAAATCTCAATTTGATCATGGTCACAGCTATCATTGGCCAAGGCGCCAATGCCAATTTAGCTTTCTCATTAGTGGTCAGATTGCTCATGGATAGTGCCACTAATCCATGTTTAATTTGGGCTTTCTTCTTTCTAGGCTCTCCTAATCTGAATAGTCATCATTGAATATCTGGGTCATTTGATTTAGATCACCGCCTGTTCATGATTCCAATCACACCTTTATGCATTTTGGAAGATTTCAATCCAATGTCACTCTGTCAGGTCTTCGAGGAAAAGCTAAGCCAAAACCAGATGTGGAGCTTCACAAAGCATGAAGTGAGATCAATGTGTCGTGCAGTGTGTGTGTGTATATATCAAGTGAATGTTTCCTTAGTTAATAATCAGTGAGCAACAGAATGGCCCATTTAAACTACTTCAGGAGTTTCAATCAAAAAAAAAAAAAACTACTTCAGGAGTTTAGTATGCCAAAAAGAAAACTGAAAGAGAAACATCTCGAGGGAAAGTGACACACAAGTTCTATGGTCATTTGAGAAAAAATTGAAGAGTAACTAAAAAAAGATTCATAGTTTCATATAAGAGTTTGCAATATCAATTTTATCTATTGAGTAATTAGAAAAGTTGGTTATTCGAAAACTACCTAATCAACGTTAAAAAGTAGATCAAATTCAAATAAGTTTTGATACCCTAAAATTAGTGGCTAATTTTATTGGAAAAAATTAATAAGTAACTCAAATATAGTTAGTTTTTTAATAGAAGAGTTGGTAATTTCAATAAAAGTAGGCCGACCTAATCGGCGGTGTAAATTAAGTGGCTTGAATATGATTAGGTTAAAAAGGTCGGCTAATTTCTCACAAAAAGTTGTTAATTTGATATAAGGGCCAATTACTTCAATAAAAGTCGGTTAGTAATTGTTAGAAAAGGTGGTAATCTAGACCTGATAAGAAAATATTGGTAAATTATTCAAATAACAGTCGGTAAACCTAAAATTAGTCGGTAACTTAATCGAATAAAAGTTGATAATTCAATCAAATCGAGGCAGGTAACCTCGCACAAGAGTTGGTAGCTTTAAACCCTCAAAACGTCTATAAGCTAGATCGACAAAACAAGGAGATAATCTATCGGAAGTATTGGCATGTTACAAAACAATCGAGTTGGTAACTTGATACAAGAGTCGGTAACTTTCCAACAAGATATTGAACAAACGATCGGACGAACACCATACCGATCCGTTATTCTTACCAATATTATTGGAGAAGGTTATCAGCGTTCCTAGAAATTTATGAACACGGAAATCTTTTCCAATTTCTTCAAACGGACAAAGGAGGGTTTATGAAGAAAGCTAATAGCAATTTAATCTGGTCCAGTTCCTTTCCTGTGGTGAGACAAATTAAGCCATCTATATTCCATTTCATGAAAAGGGTGCAAATCAAACAAACAAATAAATTAGAGAACTATATATAATAAGCCCGTCTCTCTAGTCTAATCTATCGAACCGATGGATCAACTGAAAAAGTGCAAAGGGGAACGAAGAAGAGGCAACAAAGAGTGCAGAAGAGCATGCGCAGATGAAAAAGGGTTCTGCAGAGGCTCGTTTTTGAGGGGGCAAGAGCATACAAATCCCATGCCCGGGATGCCAACATCGAAACGTCTCGTGAGATACTAGAAAAGGTGGCGCATGAAAGAGATGTTGGGATTCATGATTGCCTTTCCTTTGTCCCTTTTTGTCTAGTCTTTGTTCTTGGTTCATTGCCTAAGGATCCACTTTGCCTCGTGCATGAATTGTCAAAGTTTGTCGACGTACGGAACTTGGAAAAGGAGAATGATTTTTCCAGGAATCGTTGCTCGTGGTTGTGGAGCGTGCGGAAGGAATGTCGCGATCATCCCCTCCGACCAATGTGTGTATGAGCTACGTAGATCATGCGTAACCACACATTCGCAGCAGGATATGTTTGACCTACATCCAAGGTGAGCTAAGCGAACGGGAGTCTCTTGGGAAAGTTTTTGTTTTGCTTCATAGGTTGGGATTTAGGAAGAGGACAAAGACACGCGAAGCGAATAGCTAATTTGCCATGAAGGGTCGGATTCCGAAAGGCAATTAAGGGTCGAGAATGGAGATGATTGAGGGTTTCGAAATGAAGTGATCGGTCTCCCGGACGCTTAGTTTCGTGAGAACGCGGTATTTTCGATTTCGGTATGATGATCGTACGATGCTGCAATTTTTGGGCCACCAAACCCCTAAGGCCCATGTTGACTTCTTGAATTGAGGACTGCATACTGTTCACTGCCGGGCTGTTCAAGCCCTGTCTTGGGATGTTACTAAATATGCTAAACTCACCAAGAAAACCACCATCTTGTTGCAGAGCTCAAAATCACATAAAAATGCAGCAACCAATGAATACGACACTTTTGGTCCTTCACTGTGACACTCCTGGGCTAAGGCTGCACTTGGGAACACTGAGGGGAAAGTCTTTGGAAAAATGCAAAGGACTTTAAATTGAAGGAGTTTTCCAAAATGTAAAAAAATGACTTCCGGGAAAATATTTTCCAAAAGGAGAATATTTTCCGCCAAACGAACGGAGCCTTAAATTGAAGGAGTTTTCCAAAATGTAAATTGTATTTGGTAAGTTGTAATTTAAAGGTCCATTGCAAAGCAACTTTGGGTAAAATAGCGTTTGGAAAAATTATTCTTGCAAAGCACTTTTTAAATTTTTTAATAAAGCAAAGTTCAAACCCTTCGCCGGAACCGGGGAAGGGCAGGCGGCTGCCGACGGCCGTCGCCTGAGGTCGTACGACCTCAGGCAGACCCCAGCGACCTCCAACGAGGGCTGCCTAGGGTCGAGCGACCTCTGACGAGGGTCGCGAAACCCAGGCGAGGGCCACCGGCGACCCTTGAGGGTCGTCTGGGTAGCACGACCTTAGGCGACCCTCGCTTGAATCACGTAGCGCCTCTCCGAGGTCGTGTGAGTTCCTGGTGAAGGTCGTCTAGGTCGGGCAACCTCAAGCGGCCCTCGCCTGGGTCGTGTGGCCAATCGTGGCGGTCGTGCGACCCTAAGCGATGGTCGCTGGGTTACGCGACCATGCCGGCCCCTCGCCATCCCTTCACAGCCACACTGCCGAGCTAAACGGAGAAGACGGTGAACAGTAATAAACGAGGGCAAAACCGGAAAATCAAAAAATAGATGAAGGTAGCTTTGGAAGAAATATTTTTTACTTATTCGTGAGTGTTGCATGCCGAGAAAGCTAAAAGCCCAACGCAGCCTAGTACGTGCCTTGTGCTTTCATCCTTCACAAGACTGACTTTTGCTGAATGGGGTTTTTAAAAATTGTTCCCAAACACTAGGGGTGTCAACGGGTCGGGTCGGGTTTTCATGATACCCGACCCGACCCGAAACAATGAATATATGTGCTTGGCCCGACCCGAAACAAGACCCGAACATGATATAATCGCACAATTGGTTCGGGTCGGGTCGGGTTCGTGTTTAGAGGTTTAGTAATCATTATTGAAATGATACAAAAGATAGAAAAGAAGGGGGCTAAGTACATTGATAACGCTTCGTTGACAAAACAATAAGCCCAACAAGGGTGAGATGAGTCGGTACATTTATTGGCTTAACTAATAGGCAGAGAGCTCTCAAGCCTCAACCACACTTCCATAACAAAAGTTCAACTAACGCTCATAACGCAGAAGCAGCGATTCATGCTGCATTGACCTTCGGCTCCCATCCGGCGACCACATGCTCCTTCGCTGGCTTGGTCTTTACGAAGGACTCCCGAGCAAACAGCAGCTGCAAAAACAAAAGAAACACCAATTGTTTTTTAGAGTGTCCACATGAACCTGTCTATTTTCTACTCCAAGTAGCTGCATAAATAAGCTAGAGAAGCAACTGACAAGACCTGGACAACGATCGAGAAACAAACAACATCGTTTGGGAAAACACAAATGGAAGGTCTTAAACCCACCTCTCATATGCACAGACAGGGAAATTTCACAAATAGATGTCAATTTGGACTAGAAGCAAAGAAGAAATGTCGACTTTTAAAAAGAATGTACTTGTGTTCAATATGAAGAGATCATTATAATATACTTCATCCTCATCATCAGGAGATTTTCCATACCCACCAAATATGAGCAGCCTTCTACACACAGGTGCTGCACTATGACCCTGCCTTGCCTCCGGTGCCTCTCCCCATGTAATTGGTGATATCCATGTATGAGAAGCTATGTAACATATTCGTGAGCTACATTAAAAAGAGCCCAACTTCTGCTGTTGCAAGTATAATGAAAAGATGCACAGATTATTAGTCGACAAGACTGTATGGCCACCAGGGGCGAAAGGAGAAGGTAAATGTGACTTACGAGTGTCTAGTATATGCAAATCCGCGAGAGGGTTCGTCCATCCGTCCCACCAAACACAAACAAATTGTCACCAACATTAGTAAAACTATGGCCGTCCCTTGGAGCAGGTGGTGTGCCTTTTATTGTGGGTTGGCTCCATGTTTGCTCCACTGCGATTCAGAAAAAACTAATTATCAATGAAAAAAGAGGAAAATCACAACATAAGGAGACAACCAATGGCAGATTCATATCAGCAACCATATTCCAGTAGTAGCATTGATCCAGCGATACCCTAGACCAACGACACCCTAGACCAGCGCGAAGCGAAAGTACGGAAGAGAGGGAGATGGGGACCTTGACGGCGGAGAGGGAGCTCTCGCCGCAGCTATCGCGAAACCCACCACGGAATTCGCTTCACATCGAACAGCAAACCCGCACCCATCAGCGATAAACCCACAATTTGCTATCGGAAAAGCGAAACTTCGAAAGACCCACAATTCAGAATCCGCTACTTGACGTAGCGGTTGGCGACGCACGATGGACCCGCTTTCATTCACGAAATCGGGAGGGAGTTAGGGTTTGCGGGGACTGACCTGGTTCGAGCTCGATGCCTGGGAGGGGATGACGATGACGGTGGATCGAGGGAGGTGGCGCAAGCCAGACTGGGGAGGAGACGAGATCCGCTAGAAAGAGAAAGCGGAGCTATGGAAGAAGATGATAGGTTTCGGGTGGGCTTGGCCCTTGAGAGCAAGAAGATCAAATGGTTCTTGTTTGTTTCCAGTGGGCTTGTTTCGGGCAGGCTCGGGTAGATCCAAAACAAGTTGAAGTCTTGTTTATATTATTACCCAAACAAGTTAAGGTCCAACCCGACCCAATATAAAAATTTCATGTTTGGATCGGGTCGGGTCGGGTCATGTTTGAACGGGTACTTTTGACACCACTACCAAACACCTAATATTAGCCCAAGGGGCTTTGGACACCCAAAGTGGCTTAAACGCACCCTAAATGCTGAAGGTCAAAAAGAGGATTGCTCCACTTAAAAAAAATGGAAAACGAAATTCCCAGCTCTGTAATCAGTATTTGCAGCAGAAAACCAGCAAAACCTGATGGAGAACCTAAACCAGAAAGCACCAAAATGCTTTGTTCAGATATCAGATGGTTGCAATGTTGAAAACTGAAGCAGCCATTATAAAGAATGATCATTTTATACAACGGGACAGGAGTCTAATTTCTACAGTTTTATTACAGCAGCTGAACCTAGAAAAACAAAACCTAAAAATACTCGTGTAAGATGCGGAAAAGAATATCTGCACTCTTCTGCAGTTTCATCATAAACCCGACACCGAAGAATTCCCGTGGAGTAAGGGCGCCATCACAACTATGGTACAACATCTATAGTATAGAAATTCTCAACCTAAGGGGCGTCCGACCAACCGAGTGGAAAAACCGACAATTACAGATAAATTACACCGGGGCCTTTGGCTCACTTCCTATAAACCGCTATTTCCCAGAAAACTTCGCGAGGGAGCTCTAACAAGAAGGGGGCTGAAGCTGTTTCAGCCGATGTGCTACGTGCTTCATCGTGGGCCGAGTAGAAAGAGAATCGACAGTGCAAACGACCGCCAAGTGTAGAACCTCCACCAGATCGTCGTGGGGGCCCACGTCCCACAAGCCTGCAGTGAAGAACTCCTTGGCACGACCCTGTCGCAGAAGCATGCATGCCCATTGGACAATGTTGAAACCATTCCCATATGAAGAGAACGAGGGGTCTAAAGCCTTCTTGTCCGAGAGCAACTCAAGAAGTACTACACCGTAACTGTACACATCGGCCTTATCAGAGACACGGCATGTCATCGCATACTCGGGGGCCACATAACCAAAGGTCCCTGCCACACCGGTAGTGGCATGGGTCTCTGAAGTTCCTAGTAGCCGAGCCAACCCAAAATCAGACAAGCAAGCATTGTAATCATCATCTAGCAAGATGTTGCTAGGCTTGACGTCACGGTGGAGGATTCGGGGTACACATTGGTTGTGCAGGTAGGAAAGTGCACGAGCTACGTCTAAAGCAATCTTGTGAAGTACCCTCCAATCCACAGGCCTCGTTGACCTCTCTTTTATGAATTTCTCCAGATTACCACCGGGCAAATACTTGTAAATAAGGAACATCTCAGTCTCGCTGGCATGACAACCAATCAAAGTAACCAGATTCCGATGGTGATGCCGTGCCAGGGTTTTAATCTCCGCATGAAACTGTTGGGCCCCCTGAAAACGGCCCACCGCCAGCCTCTTTATTGCCAACAATACCCCTGGCGAAACCTCGGCCTTGTATGTAGCTCCAAAACCACCACTACCGATGCAATTGCTTGCGTTGAAATTCCCTGTGGCAAGCACGACATTCTCAAATGTTAATGGGATCCCAATATCTATGAAAACGGACAGTTCCTTCCTGACAGAGCCACAATTCGATTTTCTTTGTTTCCACTTCCTCATGTAAATACATAGGCCAATCAAAGCCAGCAGCACGGAAACAATTGCCGAAGCAGAAGCTATAGATGCTATTTCTACTGCATTAAAACTTGATGGTCGACCTCCTGATGGCGCGGCTGCATCATTTGCCAAACTATCCGCCCTCTGCAACTCTGTTGATGGCCTTATTGGGCAAGGCTGGCTAAAATGGTTTCCAATAACGTTACTGCACTTCAGCAACTTATCATTTAAGCGAAGAGGCCCAAACAAGTCGTTGAATGACACATTGAATGAAGTGAGTGCCGTCGCATTCATCAAACCAGTTGGGAGTTGCCCGGAGAGCCTATTGTTATTGAGCAGAAGAACAGTCAGATTCTTTAATTGCACAATGTCATTGGGTATTTCACCAGAGAGGGAGTTGGATGAAAGATCCACAACTTCTAAGAACTGAAGCTGCCCCAAGCTGGGTGGGATGGAGCCAGTAAGATTATTACCAGCCAAAGAAAGATATTTCAGGCCCCTCACTTGGCCTAGACCGGGTGGGATCTGTCCTTGCAATGAATTCCAGCTGAGATTTAACCCGACAAGAGAAACCAGCTCTCCGAGACTTGGGGGAACAGAACCAGGAATTTGATTCCCAGATGCATCCAAAAGAATGAGCGATCGGCACGACTTGCCCATGCCAGACGGAATCGGAGCAGAGAATTTGTTGTAACTGATATTGATGGCAATTACGTCCAAGTTTTGACAGTTCTCAAATATACTGTCAGGAAATGGTCCAGAAAGACTGTTCTCTCCAGCAAAAAGGGCATAGATCATTTGAGCATACAGTCTTCTAGGGATAAATGGCATTGAGCTCAATGTTCCAGTGAAGTTATTGCGCCCAAAATTGTGATATACGACAAATCCACCATCTGCTGGAACTGATGGTAAAGGTAGACCGCCTTGAGCTCTATACGCAATGAATGACAAATATCCAGTTGACCAGTTGATGGCATCGGAAGCATATCCATTGGCGGGAGAAATAGAAAGACAGCTGCTATTATGGAATCTGGGTATCGAACCAGACAGGGCATTTCCGCTGACATCAAACACAGTCATACACGAAACCTCAATTTCTTCAGAAAGCTGCCCGTTCAACTTGTTTGAGCTCAGGTCAAGGAAGACCAACTTCTTGCAGTAACTAAATTGTTGCGGTACCCCTCCAGTAAGGTAATTCTGAGCCAAATTGACCATTTCCAAGTTGTCACAAGTGCCCCAGTTGGTGGGAATCTTACCCTCCAGGTTTGTCCTCGGTGCCCACAATATGCTGAGCTTGGGTAGTTTTGTGATTCCCTCAGGAATTTCACCTTGGAAGTAATTATACTCATCGTGCATCGAACGAAATCTTGACAAGACACTCCCTTCTGCAGTATTCTTGTCCTGAAGCGGGCTGAGCAAATTCGAAAGCACGAGCACAGATAGATTACCGCAGTTTCCCAGCTCAGCAGGTATTTTACCGCTAAGAGTATTCCTCGAAAGATCCAACACTTCGAGCTTCTCGAGCTGCCCAATTTCAGTTGGAATGACCTCCTCCAACATGTTGGAGTATAACAAAAGCGACCTCAACTCTGCACAACTCCCAATGCCACTTGGAATTTCACCGCAAACGAAATTACCTGACAAATCCAAATGCTCCAGTCTGCCGCAATCGTTCCCAATATCGCTAGGAATAGAGCCAGTGAACTGATTGAACGACAGATACACAGCCCTCGCCCGACTAACAAATCCAGGTATGCTTCCATTCAAAGAATTTCCAGCTAAATTCAAAACCTCCAAATCGGCAAAATTCGATGCCGACATGGACAGTTCACCCGAAAACTGGTTATACCCGAGATTGAGCACGCGCAGATTCTTCATCCCAACAAACTGAGCTGGCAAAGATCCACTTAATGAGTTCCCCTCCAAATCAAGGACCTCCAACTTCTCCATTCCCCAGATTTCAGCAGGCAGTTCACCGTACAGCCCATTAAAAGGAAGAGCCAAGACCCTGAGCTCGGTAAGCTTAGCAATCAAGGGCGACAGTTTCCCTACCAATTTCCCACCACTTCCCAGACAATTTCTCCTAACTCCACGCGCATAAAGAGGGAACTGAGCGGAATCAGCACAGAGGAACAAGCTCCCCTTACCTGAACCGCCGTTCCCAGTGAGGTTGAGCGACGAAACCCTAGAACCAGCGTCGCAGGAGACGCCGAACCAAGCACAGTGACCGGGCGCGCCGGAGCTCGAATCCCAGCTGGAGAGGAGCCCCGACGGGTCGGAGAGCGAGCTCTTGAGCTGGACGAGGACGGATTCGTCGGAATCGCCCAGGACGGCGACGAAGCAGACGGCCAAGAAGAGGAGCAAAGCGGGTCCGGCGGCGGCGGCGGCGACGACGACAGGTGGTAGTAATCGGAAAGAAGGAGGACCCATCTCCAAACACCCAAAAGGGTGCTCAAAGACCTGCAAAAGCTCGAGCCTTTTGTACCCGCGTCGGTTCTGGAAGAGGCCCTCCTCCTCCTCCTCCTCCTCCTCCTCCTTCTCCTTCTCCTCCTCCTTCCTCTTCAGCGACTGGGGAAGAAGAGAAGAGGAAAGAAGAACCCTAATTTGGGTCGGTCATGGCGGGCCGAGTCCAACCGCGGTCTTCAAGAAAACGCGTGTGTTTTGAAGCTTTCGATTTGGGTGCTTGCGCGCTTCGGTCTTCTTCGTCCTTCTTCTTCTTCTTCGTTGTTGTTGTTCTTCTTCTTCTTCTTCTTCTTCTGCTCCTTCGTCCCCGTCTTCACTGTTTCTTTTTCTGTTTTTCTTTCGCCAAAAAAGAAAAGCAAAAGTAGTTAATAATTTCGCGTGTCCTCCGCTTTGCGTTTTTGATAGATGTCGATGCGTGGGGTTTGTCGTTTTTGGGTGGGGCCCGGCGGAAATACCTTTGGTGTGTGGGGTCGTTTTCAGTCCTTTTTCCCTCGCCTTTCTTTTTAAGAGATAATTAGCAGAAAAATATACTAATTCACTCGATTATCATGCCTTAATTTCTTCTGAGTTTCGTAATTTGTTCCCCCCCCCCCCCCCCCCCCCCTCCCCCCACAAACGATTTCCATGCTAGAAACCTGTCTAAAATGCTTCATCTTTCATGAATTGTGCAATTTTTTCTTTAATTCGAGTGCTCTTTTTTCGCGTCGATAGATAAATTCATGTGCAATAAGTCCCGAAGTCAGATGGTGATGTATTTAGAAACTAGCAATTATTTGATGCCGGCGAGAAGGGTGATAACAAGAGTAAACCATATCGATTTACGAAATATTGAGTGATTAAGGTAAGAGCAGCCGTGACCGTTCGAAAAAAGTAAATCAACGAAAAGATATTTTAAATGATAAAAATGTGAATCGTTGATGAACTTTTGTGGAAGCTATTTCGCGAGATAAGGTCGTCATGGGGTGTCTAACTTTTTTCCCGGGAAATTTCTTTCTCCGAAAAATAAATTCGAAAAGGATGTGCGACGAGTCGATAGAAACGGCAGCGACGATCGTCGACGGCAGCAATGACCGGCGTGCAGCGAACGGCAATGATTATAGCCAGGGATCACGACGAGCGATTTCATGAGAAACGGTAAGAAAGGCGCTCTTTCTAGTATTCATTTCTAGCAAAATAAACGAGGGCGGGGCCGATATAATTTCGATCAAAAATTCGTCAACTGGCGTCCCTTTCAAGGCAACTCGGTAAGAAACTGATCGAGGAAACACGACGAGTTCTCGGTTCGTTGATTTGCTTCGGTGAAGTGACTTATCATCATCTTGAATACGCGTGAGGAAAGGGGGGGAGGGGGCCTTGGTTTATTTTCGTGTGGGGGAGAAAAAATGCAAGTTGATGAATTATCCAAAATTTGGTCTTGGTTCGAAGCTTCTTTTTTTGGGGGCTTTATTTTTCTGTGTTGTGATTTGCGGTTGATCTCGAGGTTAATTACACGTCAATCGCCGGACCAATCAATACGTCGGCCCGTCAAACCAAAAGTTTTGCTCGATGGTGGTGGTTGGTCGGGAGGCTCCTCCTCCGAAAGCCCCCCCAACAGTCAAACACATCGCCCTCACGAAGGAATCCTAGTTGGCAGTATGATTATCTGTTTCATTTATCCGACAATCTTCGAAAAAGAATAATTGGGGAAAAAAAATTAAGGAAATGACCCGTGATTAGTTTGGAAATGGCCCAGATGTTATGGGAATTTCATGCGAAACTCGATGATTTACTCGACGAGATGTTTCATAAAAGCATCGAGGGATCGGGCTCGGGGAGCGCGATGCCCCCCCCCCTCGATCCTTTGTCGTCATCGTTCCGAGCGTCGATGAAAATTAGATCGTGTTGTTGGAGTCGTTCCGTCACGTATCGTGCTTTAAAACCGACCCCGTCTTTTCGGCTCGAAATGATGGGTCGGCAGGGATCTTGGATTAGTTGCTGCGTATCTCTCAAGAAAGATTCCAAATCCACCAAAAGAAATAATACATTCAATGTTCTGATCTCCAAGAAACCAGTTGGAGTCCCTCTTTCCTGTTGCCATCTGGGGGGGATGAAACCTGAGTTTTATATTCTTGATTTGGGTGTGTTCCATTAGGTTAAACCTCCACCACGAAAGCTAATCGAGTCTGCTATTACTTAAGTGTTTTCTCGATGGAGCGATCTGGGCGTTACCATGTTGTTCACATGGAATATGCAAACGAGAACCGGAAGTGCATGATCTGGGGAAGCTGGTATCTGGACCCTCTCTAATTGGGAGGAGCAGACAGCGCTACAGATGCCTAAACAATTAGTTAGTGTTGCAGAAGTTGGTCATATGATTCACGGACCGATGTTCCCCGAGTGATGTAGGGGATCGGTTCAAGCGTAGGTGGTCTCCGAGGTTGGAGCGAGTCGCACTGATTGCACCACCAGTTCTGAAGTTCGTCTGCATAACGTGATAATTTGAGCTTTCGTGTTTCTTTCCGTCTGTGAAATCGCGTCAGGGGATGATTCTCGCACGGCGCGCCCTTAGGTTGACTGCAGGAAGATGTTTCGGTAACTATGCCCCTACAATTTAAATCTGTTGGTAGCACAGAGGACAGCATCGAACGTCTAGTGAATTTTCTTTTACGTGTCTTATAGAGGAAAGTTACTGTGATCTGTTGTATATAAGCAAAAGCGGAGGTAATTTGAATGGCTTAATTCTGTTCCCACGTCTTTAATGGCATGATCTTAACCGGGTGTTCAAGGATATCTGTCGAAGTCTCTTTCCAATATTCCTATGGATGGCCATTTTTCGTGTGATGCAGAAGTTCTTGTGTGTGTCTCTGTGTATTCATATGCTTCAACTCAACCAAGTTCTCACCAACACTATGCTTAGCACATGTCTGCGAGCATTAACTTTGAACACTCTGTGGAAGCATGGGCAGTTAGAATGTCTACAGCTAACTTGCAACGAGTCATCTGAATTAGTCCCGGTAATATTATAATAATCAAGGCCATATCTCCTCGACAAATTGTGGGTGTGTGGGCATGCGTGTAGTCTGTTCTATCCCTCTTGGCAAAAATCAATCTGGCGGTCGAGTTCATCTTGGAGGAGTTTTTGCACCGAGAGCTACACAGACATCCTTGCGCGCTCTCTAGCCTTTATGAAGTCAACAGGAATTCTGTTAGCGGCGCATCAGATTATGCGACGGCATCATTTTTGTCTATGAACTTCCAATGCCTTCTAGCTCATTACGTTGCCTCTGTCGATGATCATTTGTTGAGGATATGAAGTGATATGACCGATTGGAATATCATGCGCCAGATCTAACCACATTCGATTCTAGGAGAGAACTCGGGAAAATGAGTAGAGAGGGTGCGAGAATTATCTCCTTTTACATATATAATCATCTTCTCTGAAACTCCACAACATTCGTAATCGCTACTCCTAATTACCATCTCTCTTGTGCAAGCCAGCCGAAGCTAAGCCCGATGCACGTGCTAAGATATCGTTTGCTAGATCCGCAATGCTTGATAGTAGCATGCGTATAATGCAGGCCTGTTATTGTATCTAAAGGGAAGAGAGACGCTTAAACTCTCGGTTGGATTGATGAAACGGACAGGCACCAAGAGACGACTGTGTGACGTGTCTGCAATCTCACTTCGACTTCAGAGAGATTGAACAACGGAACGAACAGCAAGAGAAGCAAGAGAACCAGTTGGTCAAAGTAGTCCTTGCTGTTGTTGCTCGCCTTGGTTCAGGCTGCTCTGGCAATGACTCTGGCGAGTGTTCTTTCTTCGATTCCACCTTGATCGAGGACTTATTTCCTTCTGATGTCCCTCCCAGTCTGACACGAACAAAGTTCGATCGTTAGGCTTCGAAGAGCGGTTAAAAACAGTAGTCGACATGCAAAAGCTGGGATTGTTTAATTCCAAGAGGATTGTTTGTATGCTGAACAAAAACAAATCTATTTGCTCACATGAATTAGACTATGCACTGATACAAAAAGTGAAAAATTGACAAATAATAGAAAGAAAGAAAAGTATGTGCACCTCATGCATAAGATAGGGAATGAAACAGTAAATCCAAGTGCCCTATGGAGAATGAACTACCCGATGCCCTAAACGCTGCCGGTTACCGATTGATCTCAAACTCATTCGACTATGACTAACAGAAAGAAACTAAAACTAAATGGAATTGCAGCTTACATTGGGAATGCAAAAGAGGCGGTGCTCGTGCCGCTCCCATCAGATAGTGTAGACATACTCGTGGAATTTCGGACGTCCTCTGTAGGTTGCATCTTTTCCTTAGCATTATCATCTTCACCTTTCTTGATATCTATATTGCTGGTTTTCGGAGACCCTTCATCCGGGAGTAATTCAGTTATTTGGGGTGATGGCTTCACTAAATCAGCAATCTGGGTTGCGGATGATGATCTTGCGCTTTCCTGCTGAGGACCCACGGCCTCTGCCACAGGGGGCAGGGCGGCCGGGACGCTGAACACCTCATCGAGCTTGGTTAATTCACCCGATTTATACAGCAAAAAAGCCTGATCCCTAGAGAAGCTGTTGTTTCCCATGTGAATGCTAAACAAGGATTCGTTAGAAGCGACGCTCCAATCCGTCGGGTTCGTCGGCTTGCTATTAAAGATGGTCGATGGAATCCTATTCGGGTCATAGCCAGCGGGTCGTCCTGCCATGTAACTCAAGGGAAGCGGAGAGGTGATCTCGGTATGTGTGCTCGAGATCGGAGCTTGAGCATAACTCTCTGATGGGACGAGTCCTTCAAGCTCTTGCGAAGAATGGTTCGATTTCGTCAAGGAATCACTCTCATCTCGATCAGTAAGGGTTGATTCTGACAAAGAGTCGGACTCAGATGAAGAAGAGGAAGAAGAAGAAGAAGAAGAAGGCGAGGCTTCCTTGCTCGGTAGTGTGTGTGTCTCATTGCAGGTGACGTCGAAATGAACCTTCAGGTGCTTACTACTATCCCTCTCAGCCTCTGTATCCATGGGATTAATGATCTCAAGATACCAAAAACATCGGAGATCCTACACTGAACCATGAAAGGGTTAAGTTAAGCTATGCAGACCGATGAAGTTGAATCATTTTTCTGAATCACAGCAAATAATTCAACAACTAGCATGGTTCTAACAATAAGGATCAAGAGGATGGTGGCTTAACAAGCACATATACAACTTAGCATACACGTATCGGGGACCAGACGGAGTTCATTCCGAGGCAATTCGGTTCATGGGAAAGATCCACTATATAACTATCGAAACTCAGCCGGAATTTCATACGAGGGATGCAGACTCTTCGCGCTAGAGAATTGTTGATGCAGATACAAATTTCTCTTTCGATGGAGGGGCGTGGGAGAGATGCGGAATGAGGACTGTCCGTATTGCTTAGCAGGTCGCGAAAGTTCTTTATAAGCCGCGCATCGAACTTCTCCTAACAAGATAAGCGGCGCAGCTGCACAGGATTACAGAAATGCGTGTCGCCCTTGCCATGCTTAACCATTCACCGATCGATATGGCTCAGATCCGCGAAATGGCACAATCTAAATGACCAGGCATTTCTATAATACCCGAGGATCAAGAAAACCAAGAACCGAACAGGCAACGTACCGGAAGACGAAGCTCCAGCCGATGAAACCAAATCGAGGCAGACCCGAGTCACCGCGCCGAACCGGGTCATGGGGGATTTCGAAGTTGGAGAGAGGGGGGATGTGAATTGGAGCAGAAAGGAGGGGGGGGGGGGGGGACAACAAGGGGTTTGCCAGCTTGATGGGGATAAGAAGGGGGGGATGAGAAAAGCGAGGTTAAAAGAGAAGAAAGGACGGCGGGGAGACGATTTCGGTGGTGGTGGGGGGTGTGTTTCTTAAGTAGTTCACGCGGGAAAGAGAGAGGATTTCTTCCCTAGGCGACAAGGAGGAATCGTAACCGCATTAACCGTTTTTCTAACTGAGCTCGCGTTTTTACAGTTCAGCAGCAAACCTAACACGAGGATTGGGAGGACTTCCCACTTTGACTTTTTTAAGGTTCGAAAATAAGGGAAAAGGATGTCTCTTTCTAGAACGATGACAAACAAAACAGATCTCCACAAAAAGTGTTTGTTCATGTTAGGGGTAACCGGTTTCCGGGTCGGCCGGTTTCCAGTTTTTGAAACCGGGAACCGGCCCACCTAGTCTTGGAACCGGACCGGACCGACCCCGAGTGGGCCGATGAAACTGAATAATTCTAGAAAACTGCTGACGGCGGTTGCCTTCGTTATGTAAAATGGAGCGAAACGACCGTCATCGTATTGTTTTGACGTCCTTCCATATCCTTCACTGATGTGAGTGAGCCTCGCCTCGCCTCTTGCTCTCTCTCTGCCATTGTTTGAAACCCTTAACCCCCAAAATCCCAATTGGGAAAGAGCACGATTCTGCTGCATCACCTCAACCGAGGATGTCGTCGACGTTGCCTGGAGGCGACGTGCGCGGCCTCCAGAACGAGCCGCCGAGCAACAAGGACCGGCTCTTCCAGAGCCACCGCATTCGCCACACGATCAACACTATCACCACCACCACAGAGGAACTTGTGAGTTCTCTATTCGCCACGAGAAAGTCACTCGTGTAACCGTGCTATTGCCGAATGTGCTTCTGGTGTGCTAATTCTAGTTTTAATATATATATACACACTATGTTAACTCAGGAAGTGAGAGTATTTGTAAAGGATTAAGGTTTTTTTACGGATTTGTAAGAAATATAAAACTAAAAAGATTCGGTCCGGTCCGGGTGGGTGATTCTACACATGGAAATGGGAACTAGACCGGTGCTCTCGAGAACCGGCCAGAATTGGCCGGTTCGGTCCAGTCCAGGCGATTCGTTTTGCTCACCTCTAGTTCATACAACGTTGGACGTGAAAAACAGAAAAAAAGAAATTCTACGTGTCGGTAAATTTCTAGGTTTTTTTGGATGAGTTTTAAATAACTTGTTAGCACAATTTCAACTTTTTTTGGTTTTTTAAAAATAACTGACAGTATTATTGAATTACCCACTTTGATCAGCTACGCTTTAAGAATGTGCAAAAGGTTTCCAGCTCTTATGCGATAGTATCGACCTCAAATGGTATGGGCTACCCATTTTCTCAAGTGAAGTTAGTATCTCATCTTTGAGTTACCAACTCTTATTCGAGCTATTTAGTAATGTGTATTTCATTGATTTCGATGTTCTAGTTCGTTAATAACTTGCAGACTCTTTAATAAAACTACCTGTCTTATTGGAGGTGTGATAAAGTTTGCTTTGTTAGAATGGGCTAAATAATTTCAAGAATCCCCAACGAGATATAACAGTGAAATTTTGGGGATAGGACACCTACCAATGTAAGGACAAGAAAGGTCCGGTTTCAAAACATTATCCAACAGAAGAACCCCTCTGCCTGAAACCCAAGCTCTCGGTTTGCAGTTGAAGATTACACACGACATCAATGGAACGAGCCTTACAGATGCAGATACGATGCGCCGCAGCACGGAACCTGATCAGTGAGCTCCTCTCTTTTTACCTTTTCTTGTCCCCAGTCCCGGGGCATCGCGAGTCCCGGGCATATCTCCAAACTAGCACCTTTTTCGAATTCCCGGACTCTATATGATTCTGGAGCTGGACTGTGAGAATTGGAAGTTTTCGTTCGCGATAGGATTAGGGTGTCGGACCGAGATGCTGATTGTTTTTTTTTTTTTCTTGAATATTTACTGAGTGGCAGTCTGAAAATGATGCACGGGTGGTGTTAGCCTTTTCGTGAGAGAGTGCGGAAGACAACTCTTCGATGCTAAATCTCTAGTAGGAATAAGAAGAATGATCAGAGTTTCACAAATTAAAGACATGAAGATGCCAATAAGCAAGATTTCTTCTTTTCAACTAAAAGGGTATTGGTTAAAGAATTTAACAACTGTGTGATTTACATAGTATAGACATTGCAACAAGGTAAACATGGGGACTGAGTGAATTACATAGCATGTTTTTATGACACTCTATAGAGTAAAATGGCATCGCATATGATTGACTGAGAAGATTATGTCTCATTTGGCTATTATGTAATCACTGGTATAGTGATTGTTCTAATTCCTGGGCTTTGCTCTGTTGCAGGCGAAACGACTTCGAGGAATAAGATGAGGACCTCTTTTATTGAAGCAAATTCAGGAGGCACCGTTCAGTTCTCTCATCCCTCCGAACACCTCAAACTGAACAAGACGGAGAACCATCTGAAAAACATAGAGAAGGTACATGTACATCTGTGTGTCGCTTTGTCGTTTGGGCAAAGGATCCAGGATCTGCTTGTTGCTGTTTCATTATTACAGGAAAGAGTCTTAGTCGAGTTGCTTAACTATGTTCCTTCTCCATAAAGAATGATCAAACCTCAAGGAGTGTCGTCCAATGTGCTATTGTCTCCATTATGCTCAGATATGTGCAATCAGGCGGAGGAGGGCGTATCAGCGCACCGAGACTTACGTGCTACTGGAACCAGGACAAGAAGAGAGATTCGTGTCCGAAGAAGAGCTAAAGGCCAAGCTCAAGGATTGGCTGGAGAACTGGCCGCGCAAATCTCTCCCTCCTGACCTTGCTCGATATGAAACTCTTGACGATGCCGTCTCCTACCTTGTGAGCTCTGTTTGTGAGCTCGAAATAGATGGTGATGTGGGCTCAATCCAATGGTATGAGGTCCGCCTAGAGTGACCGAAGCAATGGCCAGAACATAAATTAGCGCGCTCCACTGTATTCCTCCGATACATGAAGTAGTACTTGTATCAGTCTCCGGTAAATTACTTTGATACTTCATTGAATGGAAGAACTTCATTGGAGCAACACTAAAGAAGAAGTCATAAGCATTGTTAACTTCTCTTTGTTGTTCATGAGAGTACATCAGAAGAGTGCACTGAACATAATTAGGCAGCAACAGAACATTAATTTCCACGCGACATTGCATAATGCGACAGAGAAATTGTCTTATCAAAAGAATATTACAATCAGATGGTACACCATCAGTCAAAAGAAAAAAACAAGCTGATCTTTCCCACAGAATCCCATAAGACTTTTCCTGCATCACCAACAGTGCAGGCAAATTCGATCTCATGTTATATCAGATCAGAGGTGCCGAGCCGCATAATCATTCACCGCAGAGTTAATGAAAGAGACCCGCATCTTGAACCCGCAAGTCCGGAACCTGCAATTTGGCAAAATTGGATTCAAACCATCAGAATCCCCAGAAATTACATATAGCGAAAAACATGACCTAAGCAAGCAAGACCATGTTCGGTAAGCGATGCTATTAAAAAGTTGTGAACATACCTTGAGCTGATCTTTACTAGGAGGCAAGACGGCGCCGCCTTTTCTGCTTCGGGCAAGGAGGCCTTTTGTGACGGGAGACACCATCAGATCAGTCGGGCTTCGATACCTTTCGGGGTACTTGAAAGCCTTGGGGACTTTGAGGCGATCGGGCGTGCTGGGCTTGCGCAGCTCGCCGGGGACCGGAGAAACCCGACAGCTCTCTTGCGATTGCGGGGGTTTCGGAGGGGGAGCAGCCGTGGTGCACTTGTGCTCCAAGTTGGCGCTCCTGTTGCAGTTCTCCGATAGGACCGGGACATCGACCGGGGAATCGAGCACCTGCTGCTGCTGCTGCTGCTGCTCCATCAGGGGACTCTGTGCAAGTCTTTTACCGCCGCAAGCAGCCGGCTAAACGAGACTTCACGAGCCGCCGGAGAGAGAGAGTCGAATTGATTAGAGAGAGAGAGAGACAGAGAGGGGGGGGCGTTGAATTGAATGATGTGGGTGTGTGTGTGTGGGGGGGGACTGTTGGTTGGGGGGGTTGTATTTGAGCAGAGAGGAGGGGGGAGATAGATGGTGATGGTGATGGTGGTGGTGGTGGGGTGTTACCGTTTAAGGATGAGGGGAGAGGGAGTGGGACTTGTTTCTAACGGTCAAATTTGGTGTTCCCCTGTTTTTTGAGCAGAGGAGAAGGAGAGAGAGAGAGAGTTGCCCTGTTCTGACTCGACTTTGTCTCTTGACTCTGGGATGGGCCATGGCTAGCCAGCACAGCACACCCAAGGCATCCCATGGGATGGGGGCCACATGGGCATGAAGGGTGCTTTTTGGGCTGGCTTGGCTTGGACAAATGCTAATTTTTTTAGCCTTTCAAGTTTGGTACGATCTGATTGGGATTGTAGCGGACCGATTCGGATTCGGCCCAAACAATTTTGACCACAAGCTCTTGGAAAAATTTACTACAAAAGTCATAAACTTGTTATCCATATTACAATTCGGTCATAAACATTTTAATCTGGCCAACTTACTACTGAACCATTCAACGACTTGTCAATGTGGCTCTTTCAGCTAATTTGGTCGGAAAATGACTGACGCTGACGCCGGCCAAAAAATATTGAAAGTTAAAAAAAATCATAAATATCATTTTTAACTTTACTCTTATATCAACTACCCTCTTCACGTTCCGAGAGCTATTATCCTCGCTTTTTACAATGGGTTATAAGTTGCATGTCTCACCTAGACATAATTTACCTCATTATCGTTTTATTTCCCAAATAACCCTCCCCCAAAAAGACCCAACACCCACCCACCCTCTCTCTCCCCACTCGAGAGTCGAGAGGGCCGGCTTGCTCGATCTGACACAACTACTGCCATGTCTCTCATTCTCCATCGCGCTCGCCACCATTGCTCCTCCGAAGGTCGTTGCCGACCTCAGATCCGAGACCTACGATGGTCCCCTCACCAGCTTAAGACTCGATCAAGGTCAAATGATCTCGACATGCCGCCGTGCCCCGAGCCTTGCCATAAACCTTGGCTCACGTGGTCTTGCCATCGCGAGCTGCGAACGATCTCGCCACGGACAGACAGGGTTGGCTCTCAATCGCCGTTGCGTCGTGTTGCTACGTGCTAGGGGAGAGAAATAGTAAGGGGAAGAGAGTCAAGAGGATTAGATGTAAGTAGGTTTTGAAACGTGAAGAGGGTATTTAACATGAAGACCATACTCGAGGACAGTGGTAAATTGGAGCTCGATAGTCACGCCGGCGAGAAAAAACATCATAACCATCCTTTCCTCGGAAGACCCGAAATCAACCTCCGCGCGATGCGATCCATGTCAGAAGCGCAAATAAAACTTGTTCTTCTCCACATGTCCCGCAGCAGGCACAGAAGTGGTAAATGTAAAAGGCTGGCAAACTGCCCCCCCCCCGCCCGTGTGGACCGAGAAGTCAAACCCGCCCATACGATTGCAAGCAAAAGGATAAAACACAGAAGAAAAACTCCAACCCAAAATTTTCAATCATCTCGTGCAGATCAGTCGGGTTCAGGGGCGACGAATCCGCTATGGGAATCGCGGCCTGATCTCTCCAGAGCTAGTAGCTTCAGAGGCAGAAACAAGAAAGGAGTCTTCCTTTCTCAGTTCCAGTCGCATTTCTTTTCCTCTGCCTCGTCCGTACATCGTGTCTGCCGTCATATTTTCGCCCCTGCATATATATATAGTCTTATTCTAATCGGTTCCGTATTCGGTATTCACCAACTGTTTGACTGCTCGCGCTTTACTGCTTTTTGTTTTCAAAGCCTCCTCGAGGATCAGATCTTTCGTTTGGGATAAAGTTCATCCTTGGCTTCTATAATCCTCCATACCCTCCTCTTCTCTTTCCGGTTCTCGCTTGTGGCGGGGCTCGAAAAGGGAAAGGGGGACGCCTTTGAGGTCGCCGAGGTAAGTTCTTGAGCTCTCGTCCGATTCTTTAAACACCCTTTTGTGTGTTCTTCTGATAATAAGAAGAAATCCAGAGGTGTACCATCTTCTTCTGAGTCTTCTTGTTCTCAATCTTGAATTTCTTGGCTTTGTTTGTTCTGGCTGAGAGGCCGAGTTGTCAAGTGTTTTCTTTGTTTATGTCGTTGGTTTGCTCGAGTCCAGAGAGTGGGAACGTTAGATTCAAGGAGTTCTTAGCATTGGGTTTCTAATTTTATCTGGGATCTTCATAGTCTCCCACTTTCAGGTGATAAAAGATCAGCTATTTTTATTTGGTGAATAGTGGTTTTCTAGGGTTCTTGAGATTTTTTTGGGGATATGGATGGTGTTGAGAGTGGTGCCTTGGATTCAGAAGGAGAAGGGAACTTGATTGCTGCTGCGCAACAAATTGTGAGGGCGTTGGTGTCGAAAAGAGAGCTAACTGATGAAGAGAGAAAGGCTTTGGTTCAATTGAGGGCTCAGTTATCCACCATCACGATAGATAGTGAGAAAAAGAAAAAGAACATTGAGGAAGGCGCGAGCAGAGAAGAGCATCTCGATGTTATTCACGAGAAGATCATGAGGTGGGAGAATGATCAGTCCATGATATGGGATTTGGGCCAAGACGAAGCATTTCAGTATCTGAATGCCGTGGATGAAACCCTGAAGTTGATTGAACGACTAGAGAATTCACGTCAAGATTTGTCGGTTGAAAAGGATGAGATGTTGAGGAATGCCCATGATGTTCTTCAGACGGCCATGGTTAGGCTCGAGGAAGAATTTAAGCACATGCTTCTTCAGAATAGACGGTCTGTCGAGCCGGAGCACACATCCTTCCGTTCAAGTGAGGAGGATGCGGCAGAAGAAGGCTCGACGTTTTCTTACTCCTTCGACGACTCACTCCGCAGAGACAGCTTCAACAGAACCTCGGAGGAGTCAATAATCGATCTGGTTCATCCAGAAATACTACCTGACCTCAAATGCATCGCGAATTTGATGTGCAGCTCAGGTTATGAACACGAATGTTCCCAGGCTTATGTCAGTCTTCGCAGGGATGCACTGGATGAGTGTCTCTTCATTGTTGAGATGGACAAGCATTGCATCGAGGATGTTCTTAGGATGGAATGGGCTACTCTTAATTTCAAGATCAAGAAATGGGTTAGAGCTATTAGAGTCTTTGTGCGAGTTTATCTAGCAAGCGAGAGATGGCTTAGTGATCAAATTTTCGGGGAGGTATCACTGAATTTGAGTTGCTTTATTGAGGCGTCAAAGGCTGCAATTTTGCAACTTCTGAATTTTGCAGAGGCTATATCTATAGGCTCGAAAGAACCGGAGAAGTTGTTTTGCTTCCTTGAAATGTATGAAGTGATGTCTAAGCTTTTACCAGATATCAATGAGCTATATCCAGATAATGTCGGGTCCTTCATTAGAATTCAATATCATGAACTCCTGCAGAGGCTAGGCAACTGCATCAGGATGACTTTCCTTGAATTCAAGAAAGCCATCGCTGCGAACGCATCAGCGACTGCATTCCCCGGGGGTGGGGTCCACCATCTGACCCGTTACGTGATGAACTACATGAAGAATCTCGTTGATTATGGCGAGACTCTCGAGTTGCTTCTCAGCGACCATGGCGAAGAGGGTTCCAATTCTTTCGGTCATGAAACTAGTTCACCCATAGAGGATGGAAAGAGTGGGGTTTCCGGATGCGGATTTCCCAAACTGGCTCCCCATTTTCATGGCATTTCTTTGGTTCTGGTAGCAAACCTCCATGAGAAATCCAATCTATACAAAGATGTGGCTTTGCAGCATATTTTTCTGATGAACAATGTGCATTACATGGCAGAAAAGGTGAAAAATTCTGAGCTTAGACTTGTTTTCGGAGATGATTGGATTCGGAAGCACAATGGTAAGTTCCAACAGCATGCATTGAGCTATGAGAGATCGACATGGAGTTCCATACTCTCCTTCCTTAGAGAGGAGGGGCTTCACAGTTCGGGTTCAAGTTCCATCTCACACACCCTCCTAAAAGAAAGGTTAAGGAACTTCAGTCTCGCTTTCGAGGAGGTATACAAGGCTCAGACGGCCTGGGTGATCCCGGACGTTCAACTTCGGGAAGATTTACGCATCTCAACATCCCTCAAGATAGTCCAAGCATATCGAACGTTCGTGGGAAGGCATAACGGTCATCTAAGCGACAGGCACATCAAGTATACTGCAGACGACCTGGAGAATTACATCTTGGATCTGTTCGAAGGATCGCCAAAGTCCCTGCCCAATCCCTACAGGAGGTGATAGCATAATTTTATTGAGTTTTGTAACGGAGACGAGCCTTTTATTTCCTCTCTCTACTAATCTGAGTTCAAAGTGTTAGCTCGACCACTCTCTCCTTTGTTTTACATTGAAGTTGTCCCACAGTTGTCACCCAGCGGCCAAGTAAAGTTCAGGCTTAGGGAAATTGCAAGTTCCAGTGTTGTACTCTGTAGGTAATTGTATCGGCAGGCATAGTCCATATATACTAAGCACCTGTAAACATTATCAAATTGTTAAATGGAAGAATATTTAATCTGTTTCACCTAATTGTCATCTAAAGTCCGACATGTAAGGAGGGATGCTGCTTGGTCATTTGTGAACCCCCGTCGTTTTCCTATTATTCGTTCCGTCGATTGCTGTCCCGTGCACCGGTGATGCCTGTCTCGAGAGAGGAAAAGAGGAGAGAAGAAACAGATTGACTTAGAGCAGAGCAATGCAAAGCAAAGCATGCTCTGAGACCATTCTGGGTTTGGCTCGTGCAATTTGCTTTGAGGTGGTTTTAGCTTGGCTGGCCAACTTTATGGGTTGTACCGGTAGGTACAGTCCAGTGCCCACTACTTGTAGTTGTGACCTGTGGATGGAGAGGAAGCATGTGTGTCGTGTTTTCATCATCATCATCATCATCACTATATTGATCAGAACCAGATATGGTTAGTTCAAATGGCATATCAAATGTAGAAACCTGAATGTGCTATCAAATGTGGGAATGCCATGGTGTGTTTACTTTAGCATTGATCAAAACCAGACCTATTGAAAATAAATAAAAAATCGCGAGGCTGGTTAGGTGGCTCGCATGAGTGAAATCGCGTTTTTTGTCTATGACGCACGTTAGACAATCAACTGTTGTAGGTCAAATGTGAAAATTTCTTCTCTCCTAAATAGGATCTATCTGAGTTAGATGATCTCATTCAACTGATCTCTCGTGAGTAGACCTGTTAAACGGGTGGGTGGGATCGGGTTTGGGTCGGATCATAAATGGTTCGACCCAAATTGACCCATTAACCCATTTATGACTCATTTATTCATAGTGTAAATATCTCAACCCATACCCGACCCGACCCATACCCCACACATACCCGACCCGACCCATATTGCTAAAACACTTTTATATTTAACCTAATCTAGGAATACTTGTTTCTTATGATTTTTTTTTTTAAATGGGTCATATATGGGTTTAAGACCCATTTTGACACCTCTACTCATGAGTCGTGAGTGCTGAATAATTGTTCGTATATCATGTGAGAAAAGAAAAGAATGAAATTATGCTACAAGTATAAAGCAAATAGCATGTCAGGAAAAGCAACGGTGTTGATTATATCGAAATTTCTAGCAATATCAAACAGTCGATGTATTGATATCGTTAATGACAAAGGTCTATAATTTACTACAAAATGACATAATAAGCAAGTGGTCCGCCAAGATATCGGTAACGAGAGTAACTAAAATTTATATAGATCGGTTAACTTATGGTTAACCATGCCGATAATTTAGTTCGAAATGACATAAATAAGTAAATGCCGATAATTTAGTTCGAAATGACATAAATAAGTAAAGGAAGTCTAGGGTTTGGGCTATAACATGAGGTGATATTCTGTGATAATGATCTCTTTAATACGATAGCAATTTTCTAAACAAAATTTTTGAGTAATTTTGTTTTTTGGTCGGATTTTTGAGTAATTTAGTATTAACAACTTTTGTTATCAAAAAAGCGAAGGGCACCGTGCCCATTCTAATCCAACGGCGTAGAATCGCCATACGAATTAATCCAACGGCGGAGCCGAACTGTCTCGTCGGTCTGTCCGTGATATCCATGGCGACGAGCGAGAAAGTCAGAACAGAGCAGGGAGCCCCTGTCAAAACCCCAGTTCTTGCTTTCACCCGGTCGGGTCAGGGTTTTCGGAAGCAACGAAAGATCTCGCGGAAGTAAGTCTCGCGTATCTTCACTTTGCGGCAGCAATTTAGTCGTTTCCCGTTCTTGTTCTTGTTCTTGTTCGTAGTGCGGTGTTTCATCTGCTACTCCGTGGCCGTGGAAGATTGTTTCGCTGAATGCTCGCGGGGTTCATTCGTGTAGTTTTTGATGGTGAATCTCGCACCCAAGCGGTTCTGTGTCATTTGAAGGAGAGCCAACGATTTCTTTCTTGGTTTTTGGATGGTGGGTCATTTGTCTTTGCGCATGGTGCGGCGAATTGGAAATGGCGAGAGCCCAAAGGGGACATTTTTTTGTGGGTAGACAGAGACCGAGGGAAACCCGTTTGATGTGATGGGAATTCAAGATCCACTTATGGGCACTAGGCTTGCCCACGTTTGTTGGGTACTTATTGACTGATGTACGTGAGCGTGATCACTTGTGCACGATCTGAATCGGGGCTCGTTTGCTCCCTTAATCGGTGAGGCTGCAAATGTTTATCTGTCGTGACTTGATTGAACTGTCTGAATGAGAACATTCGTCATCGCTAAGAAAAAGCTTTGTTTGTGTCATCTTCAGTGAGGACATCTTATTAACAAAGAAGTAGCGTAGCGAACAGAGTTTTCTTTTTCCTATTAAAAGCTTTTCTCTGTCAATCCCGCTTTGGATGAATGGAGGCCATATGTGGGAGGCCCTGTTTGACATTGTTCGATAACACTGATAATCCTATAAAAAAAACTGTTGTTATTTACAGCTGGCAAATTGCCTTTGTGTCCTTGATATAGTGCAGTATTGATTGTAGTTTCTCTGATAGTCACGCTGATTTACTTAATATGGATTTGATTATCAAGGGATGGGACCAGGTGTACAATTGTGCTTTGGTGATGTCCAACTATGCTTTCTGTCATGTGCATGATAGAAGTATTTGAGAAATGCATAGAATTGGAATGAAATTCTACGATGTGTATTGGTCAGACGGAAGATCAATTGCACTTGTTGATAATATGACCCAAATATCAGTAGTTAATAATCACTGAAGATGCTGACGAGGCAAATGCATCTGAACCTGAGAACTGTTACACAGTAAGTTGAATGAATGTATTTGTTGTAATTAGTTGCGAATAAACTTAAAGTCATATGTACAGCTTGGAGGGAGATAATTTTCTCAATTTGAAAACTTGCTAAAGAGTTGCTGATATATTTGATCTGATTGCAGTCGCAAGTCCTCTGTTTTTTGATGATTTGGTCGAATTCATATGCGTAGGCGTAGCATACATGATATACACTTTTCTTTTTGTCATCAAAGAAGATCTACTGTTTCGTTGTATCTCTTGGAAAAGTAAAAAGTTACTGCTTTGCATTTATATTTGATCAGGATTAATGGTTTTTTTTTATTAATCTTTTAAACTTAAGGTCTGAGCCATGGCATTCATCAGCAAGGTGGGGAACATTCTAAAGCAGACTGTGAGCAAGCATGCCAACTTTGAGTCATCTGCTCATTGTCCATCTATGTACCAGGCTATAAGGTGCATGTCCTCAAAGCTTTTCATTGGAGGTATGGCAATCCGCTTCTCTTTTAAGTCATAACGCTGTCTGTCACTTTCCAAGTGTGTTATAGCTTCTTTTCTTGCATTGCAGGTCTTTCTTATAGCACTGACGATATAAGTCTCAGAGAAGCTTTTGCAGGATATGGGGAGATTATTGAAGGTACTCCTCATGTGTTTGTCTCTTTTATGTTAATAATAGCAAATGTGCTCTATTTGTTGTATATGTCGTATCAAACAGAACATTGGATGCTGCTGACTTATGTGCAAGATGTGCTTAGCCATTGATCTGATGCTAAGCAATGATTGCAGACAGAGTAGGCTAATCGCATGTATTTACTGCCTCTTTGACAGTACACTGTTCATAGTACTTAGATATGAAATTTGTTTTTTTATTCAATGGCAGCCAGAAAGGCATTTGATCATCTGATCTACCAAAGAATATCTAAACTTTGGGTACAGCTGGTGTGCTTATGGTCTTTATCAGGAATTGCATGAGATTAATGATATAAGATTGTCAGCAACCTGGTCATTAGTTAACACCAGAACCAATTTACTTTCGAGCAATTGGCAATTTGGCATAGGTTTAGTGAAAGTGGATACGCGAGTTGCTTAAGCGTGCTTTATGTGCGTCTGATACTTGTTCATGGTTTGATACTTGAAAGATGAGGTAGTGAACGCTGATTATCTTGACATTCTGCAGCTAGAGTAATTATGGACCGTGAAACCGGAAGGTCTAGAGGTTTTGGGTTTGTTACTTTGGCTTCTAGCGATGAGGCCTCCAATGCAATCCAGGGCATGGATGGACAGGTAGGGATCTATATTTGTTACTTAATCTTTTCTAGCAAATCATTGAGGTGTTCCATGAGTTACAGTTTTGATGCATGACTGTGTACCATCAATTCTGTCTATGCTTGTGACAGGTAAGTTCTCCTATTAATGAGATTGCACTGAATGGCAATAGACTTCTTATTTACTAAGGAAATTAATCACAAAAGCAGTATTAGTTATAACGTGAATTTTCTTGTGGGCCAATCCAGAATTTGTTTTCACATGGTAAAATATAGTGCACAGGCCTTTTGTTGCAGTGCATTTCTTAGTGGCAGGGGTGAGGCGTTTATAGCATGATGTCCGATGAAGGTATTTTCACAATCATTCACTTACAACAAAAAGATAAACATTGAAAGAGGCTTGGGTTAGGGATGGGCATGGGGCGTGCCAAGGACAAGGATCACATTCCCTTTCCGTGCCGCACCGCGCAAAGATCTGCCCCGCCATTGCCCTGTACCCGTACAGGCCAGGGTGTTGGCGGACATGGAGGGGCAATGATGCCGCGCGGGGCACCATGCTAGACACAAAAGACTCTTAAGAGTCTTTACAAATTAGTCAATGTGGGACAAAGTGAAGATGAAACACATGAAAAACACTTGTGCCACACTGTTTATTTAGGGAGCTTTCCAAGCTTGTATCCTATAAAAAAAATAAGACTTGCAAGTAAGAATATCTGAAAAGCTCTGTCTCACGCTGTTTGAGTGATGAAATTTATAAGTTAGCCTGACTTTTAAAAGACAAAGCTTCTCCTCTCAATGCCTAACACTTGGGGATGGGCTTCTATGGACTTTGATTTTAATGAAGGCCATTTAAATGTTTTATATAAATAAATCAATGTTATAAAATCAAGTGAATATATTTTAAAGTGCAAGTTTTGAACGATCAAAATATATAGAAGAATGTGTCTATATTTTGTAAATATTTCTTGGTGGGGTGGGGTCAATATCAGCCCTGCCTTGCCCTGCGAGGTCCCTACCTTCTGCCCCGTTCCCCTGGGGCAGGGGTTGCGGGGCACCGTGCGCCATGCCTATCGTGCCCCATACCCATCCCTGGTTTGGGCGTCGGTCCTTTGCTATCAAATTGCAGATTAGAAAACATGGTTGTTACGATTTCGTAGTATTCATAGGGTGATTAGGTCGCGTCATGTACTTATTTTCACAGTATGTAAGAATTGATGGAGGGATTGATATACATCTTTCTGCTTTCCAGTTAAGCTAATAAGCTTCAGTAATTTAAGTTAGTGAAGCAGGTCATTTTTCTTTCTGGAGTGCCAGTGAGATTCCATCCTAAGTGTGTGAATTTGTCTGTTATAAGATTAGTTGGGCATTGTTTGACTAGGGCACTAATTTCAATTCCGACCAACATGTGTGAATCGATCCGATGTTTTTCTGTTACCCTTTCATTAGGATCTTCATGGCCGAAGGATAAGAGTGAATTATGCCATAGAGAAATCTCGCGGAGGATTCGGCGGTTCTGGTTTTCGACAAGGTGGTGGTGAATTTGGTAATGCGGGTAATTTTGGCGCTGGAGGTTATGGAGGAGGCGGCGGGTATGGTTATGGACAAGGAGGGGACAGCTACAATGCCAGAGCTGGTGGATATGGCGGTCGCAGTAGTTATGGGGGTGGCAGCTACGGTGGTGGCAGCAATTTCGACGGTGGAAACAGTGGTGATTTTGGTGCCGACAGTAGGGGAGACTTCGGTGTTCCTGGTGGTGGTGGTGGTGGTGCCAATGGTGGTGACTTCTTTCCCAGTGATAATGCTGGGGCAGAAACATTGGAAGACAATCCTAAGGGCGATGACAATGAACCCGATAATTGTGCCAACACCAGGGTCTGATCAAAAGCCATATCTTGACGGCTAATCTCAATTAAGTAAATAGCCGAGGGACGGAGGATGAGTCGGAGTGTAAGGCTCGAAAGGTGTTCTCTGTTCTCTTGCTCTTGTGTTCTTCCCTTTTCGCTTGAAAACAATGATGGTTATAATTCTATCATGGCCTGTCGTTGATGTCTCATCTCATGTCCGTCGAATAATGCTAAAAAGATGGTTTGCCCAGGGAATTGTACTCTTAACTGCGAATGTAAAAATCAAGATTTTAGACCCTTCCACCCTTTTGGGGACCTAATCTCCATGCTTTTAGATACTGGTGGGGAGAGATCATGTTTTTGCTAGGGTGATATATAATCGAGCATGGTGATTACAGTGCTCACGTTTTGTTCTGTATGTTGTCATCTTTGCCTCGTTCTTTTTGTTAATTATATTTAGAATAGTTATCAAGGTAGGAGCCGGGCAGAGATCGACTTTGGTGGATTCTGGTTTAGTGGCCAATTCATTGCTCTTTTCGTTTTTCTCAATGCACTCATCAAGCCTCTGATCGAATGCTTGCCGTGTCACTGTCTTTCATGTGTCTGATTACTCAATTGATTCGATGCGACTGACCTCACCATTTGAATGATGACCATGTGATATGCATCTCAACTAGTATTGCATTGAATTTTACGTGCTCGCTTATGATTGACTTGGTTGCCCACGCGTCGTCATCGTATACTTACCTATGAAAGGCATCGTGCTCCTTTGCTTGGATTAACCGAAAGATAAGATTCGGCATCATCGATTTCGATCGCTTGTGTATTATTGCTTCGCTTCCTTCGAGAAAGAACCTTTGAACTCTGGTAATTTCCTATCATCATGATCTTGTCCCTAATGTGCGTGAGATTTGGTTCTTACTTTGACACGAAAAATCTGGAAAGTAGATCACGAGAAAGTAAGTCATTGCCTCCCCATAATCCGGACTTGGAACGGTTGCTCTTTGATGAGGTCAATGACAGTGCTAAATGCAGACTTTTATACTAAGAATTTTTTTCAATTATTTTGATTAAGGAAGACATTCGTTGACCATAGCTACTTCATTGACTATACATATTGAGAGAGAGAGAGAGAGAGAGAGAGAGAGAGAGAGAGAGCATACTGGAAATGACAATCTTTCTTCATTTGGATACGTAGCAAGTGCCTCGAAACACCTGCTAATAAAATCCTCGGCAAAATTGCGCCAACCACCTATGTTTCGGAACTTTACAACTCGTCGTCAACTTTCTTTTGGGTCAGCCCCTAAGTCAATGGGGCGAATTCGGTATGTGCAAATTACGCAAATGACAACATTAGAAATCAAAATCTCTAATAGGGTTGGCAATTCGTGTTCACGTGTCATAATTGTTTTCATAATCGTGTCACGAAAAAATCCTATATTTTTGCTAATTATGCTACGAAACTTGTTGTGCGTAAAATTTCGCGTCACGCCATGTCATCGTTAAGTTTGCAAAATAACCGTGTTAAGACGTGTCGATTTGTTTTAGAAATTCGTTAGCCCTCGTCTAGGTCGGGTGAGGAGAATGAATGGCGTGGAAAATATGATTCTCTACTTAATTTGAGGTACTTCACAATAAAACAAGCTGGAATAGCTCAGTTGGTTAGAGCGTGTGGCTGTTAACCACAAGGTCGGAGGTTCAAGCCCTCCTTCTAGCGACCGAAACCCTTTTATGCGTTTTCCTTTTTTTTTTTCGTTTTCTTCTTACAATAACTATTTTTAATATTCTCAATTGGTCAATCTCATTTCAACCCAAAAAAATAAAATAAAATAAAGAGAGAGATGACATGATTTGATCTGATCTAATCATTAAGCCATATGTAGATGCTGAGGTCATGGAGGGTGTGGAAAAACAAAGGATTTTGGTGGGTAGATATGAGTCAAAAAGGGTTCATTGTCTTTGCTATTGTCTCATTTAGCAAACATTTTTAATATTCTCAATTGGTCAATCTCATTTCGACCCACAAAAATAAAATAAAATAAAATAAAGAGAGAGATGACATGATTTGATCTGATATGATCTGATTTGATCATTAAGTTATACGTAGATGCTGAGGTCATGGAGGATGTGGAAAAACTAAGGGTTTTGGTGGGTGGATGTGAGTCAAAAAGGGGTCATTGTCTTTGCTATTGCCTCATTTAGCAAACATTTTTAATATTCTCAATTGGTCAATCTCATTTCGACCCACAAAAATAAAATAAAATAAAATAAAGAGAGAGATGACATGATTTGATCTGATATGATCTGATTTGATTATTAAGTTATATGTAGATGCTGAGGTCATGGAAGATGTGGAAAAACTAAGGGTTTTGGTGGGTGGATATGAGTCAAAAAGGGGTCATTGTCTTTTGCTATTGTCTCATTTAGCAAACATTTTTAATATTCTCAATTGGTCAATCTCATTTCCACCCACAAAAATAAAATAAAATAAAGACAGAGATGGCATGATTTGATCATTAAGTTATATGTAGATGCTGAGGTCATGGAGAATGTGGAAAAACTAAGGGTTTTGGTGGGTGGATGCGAGTCAAAAAGGGGTCATTGTCTTTTGCTATTGTCTCGTTTAGCAAACATGTCAATTCCTTTTCTTAACCATCAAATTGTGTGGAAGTCTCGGAGCCACATTTTATATGGATCCTTGGATAAAAAGGCGACACGTTGTCCTGTCCGGTCTACTTTGCAAAACCAGCTTCCCGTCATAACTCATCGACTTCATAGGTACGTCGACTCTTCAAAAGTGATCAAACTTACATTTGATTAAGAAAAGTGGCCATGAGCGAAGAAACTTATTAACTCTTAAAGTTGTCACGGGAAATGGATGATTTATAAAATTTTTGTTTTAAATGATTGTCTGTATCACTTATAAAAACGAAAGAATTAAAAATGTTATCATCATCCACGAAAATATTTAAACATGAATTGTTGTCGATAGTGAAGATATTTTTCATTAACTAATTATTTCAAGCGATACAAGTAATTATTTTTATAATTATTCAATTTTCGCAAAATTAACAGAGCCTAAATTGCAGAACTTTACTGAGTGTAAACGAATGTTACGGCTAGTTGGATATTTTACTGCACAAAAGGATTGTACTGTCAACTTAGATAGATTGCAATTTTTGTGGAATCATACGTCCCATAGACCCATAGAACTTACGACCACCAACGGAGAATTACGCCTCCTAAAGAAAAGTCACAAAATCAAAAGTACTGAAATTGAAGACAATCGTATCCAGCCATGTAAAATGGTATTGAAATGTAAAGAAAAACAATAAGTAAAATCAAATAACTGGTGTTTTATTGATTGATTGGCAGTCCTTTACACAAATTACAATTATAATAGTTATAGCTAATTGAACAATTAGTGTTCATTGATTGATTGACAGCTCTTTACACGGATTACATTCTAATATTAAAACTAGTACTATCAGTTAATCAGCAGACTCAGCACATAAACACTAAGGGTGTGTTTTGTAATTATTCTGTTTCCGCTAATAATTTCTGCTCAGAAATGATTTTTTTTTATTCTATTCCCGGAAATAATTTATAAGCATTTGAAGGCGTTTGATAACTGCCCAAAATTTATATTCCTGGAATAGAAAAAGAACATAAATGGATTTGGTAATTACACAAAATTTATTTTTATTAATAATATTTTTGAATTTTTTAATATTTCTTTCTTTTTCTTTTTTCCCTTTTTTTTCTTTTCTATTTTTTTTCTTCCCCTTCCTTGGCCCATGGCCAGGTCATCGGTGTTGGCAATCGGCCACAGACTAGGGTTGGGCGGCTTGTGGCCTGGGCAAGGGTGGCGGCGGCGGCGAGGGTCCAGCTCTCGTCCTCGCCAGCGAGGGCCGCAACGCCCTCGTCGGCCCTGGCCGGCCACCGACGATTGGGTACAGGCCATGAAAAATGAAGAAAACCAATTAAGAAGAAGAAGAAGAAGAAAAATTTATTTTCCATTTTTGATTCTTGTTCCCAGAATCAGGAATCAACTATTTTTTTTGTTCCTGATTCTATTCCAAAACTGATTCTAAGAATAAATTTGTGCCTAGGAACAAAAAATTTACCAATCGAATTTCTGTTTTTTTTTTGTTCCGAGAAACAAAAAAATAGAATCGAATACTGTTTGGCAGGTTACCAAACAGCCCCTAACCCTATTACTCAATAGTTATTCTCTCTCTCCACTCTTTACACCTAGCATCACCGATTACTTTTTTTTTTTTTTGATAATCGAGGTGTCCGCACGGCCGGCGAGCTAGGGCTTAAACCAGCGGTGATGCCCGACTAGTCCTCGAGGGGGGCTAGCGCAGCATCCCACGGCCACGACCCCCCACTTAAATCACCTCGATGGGCGAGTTTGAACTCAGGACCTCTCGTGAAAGGAACTGAGCGCAAAACCAACGCGGCCACCGATGGGTGGGTACCACCGATTACTTTCGAAGTCTCCTATTCCAAAAATTTATGTTTCTTGGCCTCTATCGTTAGCGGCATCCAAAATATATGGCATTCGCTACCCGATGATCGTGTCAATTTCACTTCTTCAGAGCCCCCGTCGACGGGCCCTCAGCGAATCGCATTCGAGATTGTCGGCACCGCTGCTTAGATTGCCACTAATCCATTCAACTCATCATAAGTCGTGTTAGTTGTGGCCTTTTGTCGACTAGGTCAAGCTTTACTTACCTACACTCACATGCCGAGACTTACCATACTTTGTCAGCCTACCATACTTGCCGACTAAAAGCCTACACCACTTTGCAAGTCCTGTATCTCTTGCATTTCGCCCGATCTTTCTCAGCCCGAGTCAACAGTAAAAAAAAACTCGAGCAACTTTTCGGTGTCAATGGTACAACAACTTTGATTCGGTCAAAAATCAACACTTCACTTCAGAATGAAGCGGGATTTAATTTCTTACAAAAGGATGGCCGAAAATTGGCTGGATGATTTGAAAAACACATTTCCAAAAGATTATGATCATTTTTTTCTTCGATTCATTTTTTTAAGCAATTCAAACAATTTTTAAAAAAAAAATTTCAATGATTTACTTTTCGCAAAAGAAGCAAAAACTAAAGGCGCGAATGATAACCACTATGTTTCCCTGTTTTTTCATATTTTTGTTCCCGGGAACAGGTTTGGAACATAAATCCGTTTGGTAAAATAATTTTATTTTTTTATTTCTAGGACAAATTTTGGCCTAAAAATAGATTTGGAAAAAAAATGAAAAGTTAAAATTTTTTACTGCTCTATTTCTGGAATAGAAACATAAATAAAAACTCTTTTTTATTGCTCACCCTTGCCGCTCACCAATCGGCCGTCCGCCGCCGCCCGCCACCCTCCGCTGTCGCTGTCGCCATCACCACTCGCCGGCCATCCGCCGCCACCACCTTTCGCCGATCGGTTTCGCCGATCGGCCGGCGCCACCTTTTGCCGACCGTCCGCTACCGCTCGCCGCCCCCCATCGCCGCTCATCCATTGCCCGCTGCCCGCTGCCCGCCGGCCATCCACCGTCGCCCGTTGCCACCGCCGGTCGCCCTCCGGCCATCCTCTGTTGCCCGTCGCCACCGCCGCTCGCCGCCCGCCTGCTAGCCATCCCCCGTCGCCCTTCGCCACCGTTCACCGGCTGGCGGGAATAGAAATTTTGCGTCGTTATCAGATAAATTTATATTTCGGAAACAGAAATTTTGTGTCGTTATCAAGCACTATTTTTTGTTTAGAAACTCGTTTGGGAAAAAGAAATAGATTTGTTAATTTTTAGTTAGAAATATAGCCAGGAAAGAAAAATGTTGCCACTCGTGCAGGCATATATTTCATTTCCTAGAAGGGGGAGTCCCACGTGGGCTTCGAAAAGAGCTCACTCAGTTTGTTTTCACCGCGGCGTACGGGGCCGTACCATCGACGACGACAACGAAAACAACAACGTTGTCCACATGCATCAGCCGCTTTCACCAACCGGGCCACGACCACCCCACGCGCTTCGTCTCGACGTTGTATATATACACAGCTCCCACCTCGACTCGAACGACCCCCCTTGCACGCGCACGCATACGCCCGTTCGCGCTCGTCTCTTCTTCTTCTTCTTCTTCTTCTTCTTCGTCGCGCGATTCCTGGGTTCCCGGAAGAAGACCCGGCGAGCCGACGCCGCCGTGCCCGAGAACCGAGAGAATGGCACTCAGGTGGGGTTGCTGCCCGCCGCGGGAGACGGGACCCGGGACGGCGGCGGGGCGCGCGACGCCGCCGGGGGGCCGCCGTCTCGCCGCCTCCCTCGCGCGGGCGGGCGATGGGTTCCCCTCGTTTCTGCCCAAGGAGGTGGAGAGGATCAAGGACCCTTTCGCCCGTCAGTTGGCTCAGAGGATCGAGAGGGTCCCGGTCCCGGTGCAGGTACCTTCGTCGTGCTCCCCCCTCCTCTCCGCATGCGTTTCGTTCCTCGTGGTCGCGGTGCGTCGGTTTTTGTTCTCTTGCTACTTCGTCTCGTCGCCGGAGGTTTGGCTTGCGCTTTGCGTGAAAAATGATAGGAGAGGTTCATTTCGTGCGCTTGTGACGATTGCTGCTGTTGAAAAGTTTAGTGACCATGCTTTTGAAGGTCGGCATTTTCCGCTTGTGAATCTGTCCTTCTGGGTGTACTGTTTGTACTGTGCGGGAAATGGCCTTGCATTGCAGTGATCAGGTTGGCCCAGTGAAAGGACTCACTAGTGGCAGTGCGTAACATGGGCGATGGACAAACTTCGCTTCGCTACATGTATGTGGTCCCTGTGAGAAAGCTCCCTCTTTTCGACCCCTATCTAGCTACACGTTAAAGAATTGGTTAAATAGACATAAAGTAGATGGGAAGGAGTCATGGTAGTAGCAGGGGAAGAGGGGGTTAGATTGCAGTAAAAACTTTCTTCTTGTCGTGGGATATTGAGCAGATGAGTTACAGCCTGTCGACACTATATGTGGGCATTTGAACTTATGCAAGTTTTCTGACATTTTTCCTTTTAATTTCCGGAAATAGATATCAGGTATATGAAATTTGGACAGAAAATGTTCCTACTGGTGGAGTGTTGAGTGACGGCAGGTCCTTTTGAGTCCGACCTTTAGACTTTTCAAAAGTAAGGGGCAACCGCCCCAAGGTTCTTTTTTTTACAACACTATACACTTCTTCTAACTCAATTTAACATAACAAGAAATAGAAAAGATGATAAAGTGAAATTGACAGCTCAATTTCATTGATGGGGGCAATATTAATTTTATTTATGCAGGGTCGCAAACTGTAATTTGGCTAAATATTTGGGTGGTCTCTGTGATTCAAACAAATCTATCTCAGAGGCTTGTATTAGAGAAGTTTATGGCCAAGTCGCTTAAACCAGCCACTAGGATGTTTTATGAACTTTTTTCACTCGGGCCCTGTGCTTATTTGACAGGACAAAGTAGTCACTGAAATGCCTGAGGTCAAAAGCTGCTGTATGATAGACTTATCATTTTAATGCTTGTCACACTTGCAGATTGAATCGGGTGATGATTGGGTAATGAGCAGTTGCGTGAAACCATCAATAAGAAGTAAGAACAATCCGGTGGTCCTGCTACACTGCTTCGACAGGTTCAAAGTTAATAGCAATCTTGTCATATTAGCAGAACGTTTTTACCAATTACTAATATATATCTGCCATGTTTTGTGACTTAAGTTCTTGTTTAGAGTGGAGACATGCATATCCTTTACTTGAGGAGGCTGGTTTGGAAGTATGGGCTGTTGATGTCCTCGGATGGGGATTCTCTGACTTAGGTTGATCAATCTGCTTGACTTTGTTCTTAGCTGGTTATTAACATCATCCGACTGTACTCTTGATTGGTCCTCAATCGTGTAATTTTTTTTTCTATTTATGTGCTTGTGTTAGAAAAGCGTCCTCCATGTGGTGTCTCATCCAAGCGACATCACCTCTACCAGGTGACTCCCGGGCTCTTGGTTACTTAGATTTGGGAAATGTTCTACCTCTCTTGTTGCTTTAGGATCCGAAGACCATGTTGCACTCAATCTTCTTTCTTGTTCTGATGTTCCGATGTTGCTAAGACCAACTTCTTAAAGCTTACACCAACTAAATTAAGATTCCGTCTTCTGTCTTCTGCATTTTTAGTTGTGGAAGTACCATATAAGAAAGCCAATGGTATTAGTTGGACCAAGTCTGGGAGCTGCAGCTGCAATTGACTTTGCTGTCAATCACTCAGAAGCTGTGAGTAGATTCTTCTATGATATTCCTGTTAATGAGCTTTGGACAACGTGGATACATCTTACCTGGAAAAATAAATTACGTTAGTCCACCCATCTCTAGGTTCTTCAATGCATGCATGAGATTGTTGTGGAGCTCGATTGAGTTTTTCGTCTTTTTTCCCTTATGCGTTCAACTGCATCAAATCATCAATTTAAATCTGCCAATGAAATCCTTCATGGTTTGACCATGGAAAAACTAAAAAGCTTTTCTTGTTCTTCATTATTTGACCTTTTCAATCGTCATGGATGACCATGGACAATATTCAAGCCTGATTTTTTACATACAGTCCACCTTAATTGATTTTTTTCCCTCTTGTGGTTATCGTCTTCCGTTTTCATTCGTATGCACTTTTTTGGCTTGGCAGGTTGAGAAGCTGGTCTTGATCAATGGGTGTGTTTACAAGAAAGGCACAGGTCATCTAGCAAATTTACCCAAGTTGATCGCCTATGCTGGGGTGGGTTCTAAAGTTGAATTCTGTGGGACGTATGTTTCAGACAGGATAATATAGATTGCCATTCATTGCATTGAGCACCAAATACTTTCCATGAATTAGCACTGTCTCTGTTTTCCTTTTGTTTCTAGTAGCTTGCGGTGATTTCACATGGCATATGGATTTGGTTTGATCGGTTACTTTGTGATGGATTAACATCCAATAATGAAGCGATTACCTGACTGAATCTTACTCAGCCAAAAGATAGAGATAAGAAGAGGAGGACCTGATGTTCCATTTCTATCTCCTAAGGATGGAGGGTCTGAAAACCATAATCTTACAAACTCAGATTTCTGATGCAATTATCGAGAAATCGGTGTGCTTTGCATCTTATTCAAGGAAGTATTCTAAACACTTAAGAGCTCACCGCATTTTCGTGCTCTTAAAGCAAGATTGGATGATTGCATTCTTCTGATATCATTATTCCTCAGTGCATATCTACCTCCACTTTTGTGGACTGAGTCAACTTAATGGTCTTATTTTACTTAATTCTTTAAGCACTGATGGAGCCAATGTTATGAAGGCAGACCCGTCTCTGGAACGATCCCATTGCTGCTGCAATGCACATATGCAGTTTGTTTTAGTTCTTTGACTTTCCATCTAGTTGGTCCTACCTGAACTTACGGTTGTCTGTTATATATCAGGTTTCTTTGCTGAAGAGCATCCCACTGCGGCTTTATGCCAATATGTTGTCCTTCAACGGAATCTCATTGGCTACATGTTGTGATTGGACCAATGTAAAGTTCTTTACTCTTACTTGGTTCTCTTTCCTTTGCCCCGTAATTAAGTGATCTATATCTTCAACAATAAATGAAATAGGCCTATAGTTGGAGCCATCTAAGCTTCTCTATGTCCTTGTGTTGCACTCTAGGTCGGGCGCTTACATTGTCTACTGCCATGGTGGAAAGATGCAAGTGTTAGTTTTATGAGGAGTGGGGGGTATAATGTCGTTGACCAAATAAAAGAGGTACAGCAATTTCGATGTTTCTGCTTTACGCCTGCCTGATAAGCAGACGTTCTATAACAAGTCTGTTAGTGCATGCCATCACAAGGGACAAAGATTGGTTTTATTAGCACGTTGGATTTTTTTATCTTATGCTAACTCAACTGCAATTATATAGTTTAGATGGTTTTTACGTTTGTAGCATTGATTCGGCACAACCATTGAAATTTTGCATGCTGACCTCTTTCTGTAATTGCACTGGAAGTAATTAATTTAGCTTTTCATTATTTTAGCTCTCTAGGTGACCTCTGTAATGGAGAACCTTCAGATGCTAAATGTTCCTTTACGATATTTTAGCTGCACAACAGTTGGAACATCTATCAGGGTGTCCTACCGTGGAGCGGCAGTCAAGTGTGATAATAAAGGACTTCTTGGCCTACAAGCTATAGTATTTGATTAAAATTTCCAGACAGTGGATGGAAATTTTGCTTTTCCATTAGTTTTTTAACTGACTACGCACTGGCATAAATTGTCAATCCTTACCAGACTATTTCAAGGCTGTACCAGACTAGAGTTGCTAAAAATTAAATCTATTTTAAGAACTAACATGAGTCTGCCAATAGTGCTCATCTGATTTGTTCCCAACTTTTTGAGGAACTTGATGGTTGATTTGATATCGCTCCTGATTTCTTTGTAATGTATCTGTTCATGATTAGAGAGGAACGGAGGCCATTGAGACGGTTGTAAAGATTAAGTCTCAATGGAGTCAGGATTGCGAGAAGAAATCTGAATAACCCATTCTCATGGGTGCGCCTCTGACTCGATAATATCATACTTCTGCAGGTAAAGCAGAAAGTGCTCATTGTCTATGGCGAGCATGACAGGATAGTCACCAAGCAGCTCCAAGTGGTTAGTTCAGATTGGACTTGTAGTCGCCTATAAAGCCATAATGATTTGCTTTAGAATGAGATACTTGCAAAAATGATTTCGAAGCTGGAACTTGTTTTTCTCCTATGGCTTGGGTTTCCATTGATTCATAAACTCTATTTTAAACCAAAACAAGGGCAGTTTTGTTGATTTTGCTCTCTTATTTGATAATTTTGGCTTCCCATTCATTCTTTCTTTTACGTATTCTTGTGTCTGAAAAGGACCTCTAGCTGTTTTTCCTTTCTCTGCATTACCTTAGCGCAGCTAATCCCTTCAGTTCTGTATTTGATTGTTCCACTCGTTTTCTGTTTTATTGTTCTTCCCCTCGTTTAGTAGATTTTTCGTTTTCCCGTACTTTGAATTTCTTGCTGCCCTAACGAAAATGCTGGAAATGCAGAGGCTCCACTGTGAACTGCCAAGTGCAATCATACGGCAAGTGCCGGACTGCGGTCATTTACTTCATGTTGAGAAGCCCAATGCCATTGCGAATTTGATTGCGGATTTCGTCCGAGGCGTTAACTGCTGAAGAGTTCATGTAGTGGCGCTTCCCCTCTTTTCCTTTTTCAATGACTGCTTAAAGCCTATATATGAACAGGTCTTTACTGTAGACATGGACAAGGTAGATGTTTTCTCTGGCCCCCTTGGGATATCTATTCGGTCATACTTTCGAGTTCTTTACATCAATGTATATAAGCAAAGGGAAAAAGAAAGAGTATGGATTCTGCCTCTTGTAAGCTCTCGGCGCTTTACGCCGCTTTTGTTGGTCCTCTGACAGCGTTCGTGAGTTTAGGGTTAAGGCTTTTCGCCCGTAGTTAGAGTTGTGATTAGAAGAGCGCGGTCTGCGCGCCAAATGTTTTAAGTTTGCATAGTTGCTGCAAGCCTCTTCCATCATCCTTTTTGGGCCTTGATCAAAGCTAAAATGACCTGAAGTTACTGGGTTTGAGTGGACACATTGAACCGCCCTTTAGCGCTGCACGGTCATGTTGAGGTAAGCCATGGCTCTTGAGACAGGCAGTTGGGTCGTGCACCAACTGCCGTGGCTGCGGCCGCGGCCGGTCTATGGCATTCAGCTAATGACTTGATAAAGACAACCCGAACCATTCGAAAGGCATGAAGTGCCATCTTTCAGCTAGGTCGGAATGGTTTCGACTTTCGGGGCCTTCGATTCAGACCATCAATCATTTCCCACGAGAAAAAAAATGTCCATATAAATGTAGCTTTACAAATTAATTCTATGCCTTTAAAAAGGGTCACTTGGATTTATAATTTGAAAGGTGTTGATTATTCTTCTTGCAACGAGTACTTTTCTTACTCTCTCTACTCATCTTGCTTCGAATCAATATTTTTCTCTCTCCTAAATTTTTGCTTTCAATATCAATGGTTTAAATGAGTTCAATGATGTTGATTAACATAGCAATTTTTATGAGAAACTGTAGTGATTTATTAGAAGATTTTTGTTATTTTTTTCTATTGTTCCTATGAAGTTATTGGGTGCTTATAAAATTTCTTTTAATAAAAAAGTTTTCGCATTTTAATCCAAAGTTTTAGGAATGTAAAAGTTGAGATTTTGTTATTATCTTTCATTGGGTGCTTATAAAATTACTCTTAATCTTTTGTGAAAGGCTATCCTAGAAATGCCGATAATTCTATAGTAATAATAATAATAATTCATAAGACGCGTGTTCACGTGATGGGTGGATTGGAACTAGGAAATGGCAAATTAGTGGCAAAATTGACATAAATGGTATGTGAACTTTTATCCAATATTCAATGTGGTCCTTGAATCTTAGCTCGATGTATAATATGGTCCCTGAACTTGAATTAATGGAGGGACAATATTGAATATTTGCCAAAAGTCGAGAGATCACATTAAACAAGTTAAAAATTCAGAGAATACATTACACATTGGACTGAAATTCATGTACCATATTGAACAAATTTAAAGTTCGTGGGTCATGTTACACATTGAATCAAAATTCGAGATGATTTGTGTCATTTACCTTTCTTTTTTTTTTTTAAGGAGAAAAGGTCGAGCGACTAACGACAGGCAACACTGCGCTTTGGCAGAGGGACAAAAACGACGCGTCGCTTTCCAACAAATAAAGGAAAAAAAAAGAAATGCGAAAATGAAAAATCCTCTAAAACCCTAGCCAAGATCTTTCTTCTTCTTCTTCTTCTTCACCATTACTGCGTGAAGCTTGAACCCTGAAATTCCGCCGGCCACGATCCGTCACCGCATCCAAACTTCCGGCTCCGGCGGCCTCTCTCTCCCGGAGCTGTGCCCGCGACATGGACAAGGACAACTTTGGCGAGGAGGAGATGTCCCGGCGAGTCCAAGTCCGGTTCGTCACGAAGCTGAAGCCGCCGTTGAAGGTCCCCTCCGCTTCCATCGCAATCCCCGCGAACCTCACCCGATTGGGCCTCTCCACCGTCGTCAACAATCTCATCCAATCCGGTAAACCATATCTCTCGCTCTCGAAGCACGAATCAATGTCACGGATGGATTTTGTACTTACCGTGTTGTGATGAAAGTTTGTGCCTCTTTTTTTAAGCTTCGTTCAGATTCTTCTTTTCCTTTTTTCAATGTGCGCTTTGTATTGGTTTCTACGTGCATTGGGCTGAGAATTGATGGATGTCATTATTTATTTATTTTTATTTATTTTTGCTGTGGCGTGGATTGATTGTAGTGCTGAGCTGTTTGATTTTACTCTGACAGGGAGCCCGGATTGGAATGCGGAGCCGTTTGATTTTCTGATTGATGGCGAGCTCATCCGGATGTCGCTCGAACAGTTTCTTCTTGCCAAAGGCATTTCCGCGGTAATAATGTTGTTCCTTCTCGCCGGCACGGTGTCATGTCCCATGCTCGAATCCCGCATGGTCGTGCATCTTGAGCAGTGGAGAAAGTAAAGATAGCTAGAATATAATTATCTTCATTCGACATAAGTTGGCAAACTAATTTTGGTTAGAAAGGACTAGTTACTGAGGTTTATTGGGTCATCGATATCGATGCGATCTGCTGATAGTTTGATGTAGTGGGATAATCCACTTTATGTTATTTCTGTCATCTGAGCTTCGTAATTGTTTAGTCTTCTCTTTCACGATGTGGTCCATAGTTTGTTTAATCGAAGCAACAATGCTTCCTCCAGCTATTTTCTTTTGCTATTTGTTTGATATATAAGTAGGAATTTTTGGTTATTACAGGAGAAGATATTGGAGATAGAGTACATTAGAGCCATAGCCCCACGAAAAGAGGAAGATGCATCTGAACATGAGGATTGGGTTAGTGCAGTCGATGGGTCTAATCCTAAGTAAGTATATGGACATCGAAAGGGCCTTTTCTTTCCATTTGAACATCACTCTCGAAACGCTTTATGCTTTGTCCAGGGGTTTTGTTTGATTATTCAGAAGGTGATTTGTCACAAAGCTAGACATTTTCCTAATACTGAAGAACCACCTGTAGCTTTGGAGGATTCACAATACTCTTGGCATAACTTAATGTATCTTAGCTTGGAAATGGGACTTGTAAACATGTTAGACAGGATAACACCATCCGTATGCTGAACTGACTTAACCAAGTACCCTGGATTTCTCTGGTTTTTGTTTTCTTCTTTTAGGCTCTATTTTCTTCTCAGTTTTTTTGTTTCATCATCTGGCAGGTTCATTTTGACAGGATGTTATGATGGTTTAGCAAGGTAATACTTAAAGAAAGCTTGTTCCTCACTTGTATCTTGCACCAGCATTCATTTTATGAAATTCGCTCCGAGGTTTCAACGATTTTCACTGACGATGACTTCGATGTCTTAAATTAAGGGTATGGGATGCTCCCGGATCATGCAGTCATATATTAGGAGGACACGGTGATGCAATTACTTCTGTCAGCGTCGTCGATCAGGAAGGTACAAAGTACATGTGAATGCCATTGGCTGAATTGGACATCTAAATGATTGTAATTGTATCATCATTACCATGGTTGTTAAAATCAGGATCCTTCTTCGCTTGATGGGGTTGCACATTAACTTTTATAGAAGTATATTTGATTACAATATACTCCTACTCTTCTCTGAGATTGTTTTATCCCCAAATTATGGTTTTTGATGAATCTTCAGAGAGGACAGTGTATCTAGCATGGATGCAATTTAAATGATCCAATGTTGATACTACAAATTGCAAAATTTATCTGTAGGTTAGCATGACCCTATGGGGGCTATATCTTTTTTCAGCGAAACTGTTGAAGGCAATTTTTCCTTTTTGAAACTTTGGTGTAATGAAGAAATTATGCAATGAACGAGGTGACTTTTAGTGTCATGGTCCAGCTTTTCCTCAAGTCACTGTTGCGGTTTTTATGTACTGCAAGCACAGCATACGTGCCCCCATTCTGAGGGTGCAGTCCCAAGTGTAGTTTGCATATTGACTATGGACTGCCTGGGGTGTGAATGCAGGAGCTGAGAGTGTTTGCGTGGCAACTGCATCAAAAGACAGGACGCTAAGGTTGTGGAAGGTAATTAAACGACAGTACTGCCTCTTCTTTTACCTTATTTGATCCCTGCATCCACTCAATTATTATTTTTACTCTCTTTTGCATGAAAAGATTCATACCGAGGCATCTCTTAATTCTTCTGTGACGATAAGGGCATTTAAAATTCTGCGGGGGCATAAAGCATCAGTCCAAAGTGTTTCAGCGAGATCTGCTGGAGACATGGTCCTGTCTATACCCTGGTATCATTGTATTGTTAAAAGCATCAGAATTAGACCCCAAAACTGAGCTGGCTTCTTTTTGGTTGCATATATCAGATCTGTTCTGGTTCTTGGGATTGTACTATTAATTTGTGGAACACGAAGGAGTTGGGTGCAGACGATAATCCTGTGACAGTCAAGAAGAGAAAAGTTAATAATCAAGTTGAGGAATCTCAAATGGAGGTATTGCTTCCTTCTTGACTATGTTAAACGTACTTCTGCATGGATTTTTAGACTATGTTAGATGTCATTATTACCTCATTTTGAGTTGTCTAACTTTTATTCTGATACTTCTGATGGTTTCCAAAATTCTCGAATAGCTCCTGCATGTGGACCCTTTCATTCAATTAGGGAGTCATCCTTCCTTCCGGCAACACAGATTGACTCTGCTTTAGTATATAAGTTTTAAGGAGTCAGTCACCATCATTTAGTAACAAATACATATTTTCCAGGAAAGTTGTTTGTCTCTTCTGTTTATTACAAATGTTAAAGAGTTGGCCGAGTAGTTATAACAAACTAGCACAAATATCTGGACTAGAAAAACTTTCTTTGGCAGCTTACTAGCATTGATTTTTCATTGCTATCAGGAGGAAGCCGTGTCTACACTTGTAGGCCATACACAATGTGTATCTTCAGTGATTTGGCCACAACCGGAGACAATTTATTCTACTTCATGGGATCACTCTGTGAGACGGTGGGATGTTGAGACTGGCAAAGATATGTTGAACATAGTATGATGAATAATATCTACCCTCTCCTTCCTTGCTTTATTTGTATTTGTATTAGGCTTTTTGGAGCTTTTATGTCGCTAGGGCAATATTTTTCTGTACACATATTAGTACTGATCGCTAGTTTTGAGTAGCATGGGAAATGCTAGAAGATTGACTTTCTTCCCATTAGACAAAGTAAAATATGCAATTCTTGCATGCAGTTCTGTGGGAAAGCCCTCAATTGCCTTGATATTGGTGGTGAAGCCTCTGCTTTGATTGCTGCTGGAGGTTCTGATCCTGTTCTCAGGATATGGGATCCTCGCAAACCAGGTATATTGCAATTGACTTGGTCTTCGTGCACTCTTATAAGATGACATGCAAGTAAAAGCGAGGCACATTAAATAGTTTTACCTTTTAGTACTCATCCCCTCGATTTCTCTCTCTGATAAAACTTGCATTTTCTCAGCAAGTTCGGCCCCCATCTTCCAGTTTTCCTCGCACGCTTCTTGGATATCGGCTTGCAAGTGGCACGATAAATCTTGGTTTCATCTACTTTCAGCATCCTATGATGGGAAGATAATGCTATGGGATTTGAGAACTGCTGTATGTCAACTCTTAACTTTGGACGGATTAACCACAATTATGTCTTTGGAATAGCTCCAGTTTGAGAAATATATTTCTTAATGCAATTTTCTCTTGCAGTGGCCTCTGGCTGTCATTGATTCTCACAAAGATAAGGTATGGCTTGTTTCTTCCATGTCTGATCATCTGGCTTTGCGGTTCTCCTTCATTTGCTGTTCTTTTCTTTTGTGGCTAATATATGGCTTTTTATGCGGTGGTGCAGGTATTTTGTGCAGACTGGTGGAGAGGTGATTGCGTGGTTAGTGGCGGGATGGACTCAAAACTGCGGGTTTCTTCAGGGATACCTATCCAATGAGGTTTGACATTCTTCATTTCATCTGTTGAAGTTCTGAGCTCTGGCTTCTTTCTCAGCAACGGGAATTTGCCACTTGATTCCATCTCTTTCTTCTATTTCAGGTCCTCAATATAATCATGGGATCATCTGGTGAAATGCTGCAATCGTGCTTTTGCCAATGTTTTTACTCAATTTATGTGAGAGCTCGATTGGGATTCGGGAATTCTAGTAATCATCCGAAGTCCAAATCTACGAGTTATTTATCAAGAGCTCTTGAAGTTATCCAGCTTTGGTTTGCTAAAACCAAGACTTGCCTTGTGATAGGCAATGCATGGAAATTCTCTGCGGGCAAACACCATCAATCTGTGAGCCTTGACCGATTGAAGACAATCTGTAACCCTTGAAAATGTATTAGTTGAGTGAGATGTTGCAGAAGATAGCTGGATGTATATGCATCCAATTTTGCGTAAGCATGTGCGGGTATGCTCGTGTTTTTCCCATGCCATATTGTGAGAGAGAAAAGAGGTTATATTCAGCAACAATTTGATAATTGCATCCTGGTATCAATTTTAGGTGAATTTTGTTAGTACTCATAACACTGTTCTCGGCACATAATCTTTTCCTCTTGCTGTTCCCCTCTGCAGTCTTAATGATCAAATACCATACATTGGCCAAATCCTTCGTAAATCACCGGGTTTTGTCATTCCTCAATCCGGTCGTTGAACCGCGCGGCCTCGTCAATCTCCGGTGTAATTCTTCATGAAACTCTGCTGAAATAATCTTGGATGAGCCCTACTTGGGGTATTCAATTTCGAAACTTATATCAGTGACACAGCATCACGGTTGCAATATAAATCATGCACTTAAGTCTTTACTCCCCGTTACTGACATACTTCGGCAGGGCTATCACGCCCCTTAATACGTGCTTGTGCCCTGTTTTTTATCATCCATTTATTCAAGAACTTATCATGGAGACAATGCAAAGTGTAGAATTTTCTTAAACAAGTGGGCTTTCAAGATCAAGACACTCGTCCATATTCGCGTTCATTAAACACCTACCCACGTGGACGCATGTCTTGATCTCAAGCCTACTCGTCTATACAAAATCTTACGCTAGTAAAATACCGTACAAAAAGTCTTTATACAGCGCACGTTATGGAAAGTATGTACAATTTGGTTGTCTTTTCTAATTTGCGCGCGGTTTGCGACATTCAAGTGTAGTCTAATCGGAAATTTCATCCCCTGTTGTGGGTCTGAGCTTTGGTTCCCGATAAACAGAAGAGCTCTTGATTTGCTTATGACAATTGCGTATTCTAAGGCAAGCTATCAAAATCATTATTGTCGAATCACCTATTGTCTAACCGTGCTCACGCAAATTGCTAAAAGCCGCTAGATCATACGAGTTCCAAGTGCCCCCGAACATATATGCACATAAACCGTGCCGAATTCTTTTCTCGAAAATAAACAAAAAAGAAAGCAAAACTTATAATTACAGTTCTTCTCCAGCCGATAATTTTTATTAGTTTGCGCGCTCGGTTTCTCGATCGTCGTTACTTGGAAAAATCGAAGGATCTCGGGACGAATCGCGGCACGTATTAGAGGTATGAAAATATATGATCCTGTAGTGAAAATTAATGCGAAAGTTGTTCTTCGCAGAAACATCATAGTAAGTGACATTTGCCTGATTGTTAATGTAAGATTGCATTTACTCTGATCTGAACCTGAACGCTAAGATTTCTTTTTGACCCTGATCAACATGTTCCTTCAAAAGAGACAGCTTAAAACTCAAGGCAAGACATAATCACGTATATACAGCTGTTCAACATGTTCGATGTTCGATTCATTAGAGGATGAATGTATCAAAAGAGTTAAATGTAAAAATGCAGAACATAGAAAATGGGGAATTTGTATATATTTCGATCTATTATAATGAAGATTACATCAGCCTATTTATGAGACGACTAAGGTAGCAAATATTAATCAAATATGCACACACTCAAAGGAGATATACATGCAATCTTGAGAGAGATAAATAATCAACAAAATATGAAGAATCTCCAATATAATATCGCTAACATTTGTGCTGAACAACATGCATCCTTTGCGGTCGACTTTGCTGTTGGGATAATAACTTAACAAACGCAACCCATACTCCGGGTTGCAATGTGCATAGAGAGAAAATGGGAAATTTGTATATATTTCGATGCACAAGAAGATTACATCGGCTTATTATAAATTTTATGAGACGACTATCTAAAGTAACATATATTAATCAAATATTCACAATCAAAGGGAATATACATGCAATTGAGGGACTTAGATAATTAACAAAATCTGAAAAATCTCTACTATAATATCGCTAGAAAAAAGCATCAGTGTATTACTTGGTGCTCAAGAAAAGCGGGCTTGTCCCCGTCTATATGTGCTAACTCACAGATTCAAGCTTTTCATCGACACCAAAGATGTTCGTCGGAGAGATGTTTGCGCAGCTCGGATCTGTGGCCGGCGGGGTCGTGCTCCTACGGGCAATGCTCCAGCAATACTTCCCTTCCCAACTCGGCCACCTCTTGGAGCGGCACTTCCGCAAGCTGATGAGCTTCTTCCATCCCTACGTCGAGATCTCGTTCCCCGAGTTCACCGGCAAATATATGAAGCGCAGCGAGGCCTTCACCGCCATTCAAAGCTACCTCGCCGAGAACGCCACCTCCCGGGCCAAGAAGCTCAAAGCCGATTCCGTCAGTGGCAAGCGGTCCCTCGTCCTGAGCATGGACGACTACGAGGAGGTCGCCGACGAATACAGCGGCGTGAACGTTACCTGGTTCTCGAACAAGATCGTCCCCCTGAGCACGACGCTGTCATTTTATCCCATGACCGAGAACCCACGGTGCTACATTCTCACGTTCCACTGGCGCCATAGGAGATTGATCACTCAATCCTACATCAACCACGTACTCACCCAAGGAAAGGCGATCGCGAGCAGAAACCGGCTGCGGAAGCTCTACACGAACGATCCGCAAGACTCCATGTGGATCCATGCAGTTTTCGAGCACCCTGCTACGTTCGAGACCTTGGCCATGCACCCGGACAAGAAGAGGGAAATAATGAATGACCTCACGAAATTCACCCAGAGGAAAGAGTACTACGCGAAGATCGGCAAGGCCTGGAAGCGCGGGTATCTGCTATACGGTCCGCCCGGGACCGGTAAGTCCACCATGGTTGCTGCGATGGCTAACTTCTTGGACTACGACGTGTACGACCTAGAGCTCACGGCGGTTAAAGATAACACGGAACTGAGGAGGCTTCTGATCGAGACCTCGAGCAAGTCTATCATCGTGATCGAGGACATTGATTGCTCGCTTGACCTCACGGGCCAGAGGAAGAGGGCGGAGGAGGGGGACGATGACGACGGGGACGAGGAGGACGACAAGGACAGCAACCCCGTGAAGAAGATGACAGGAAAAGAGAAGAAGAGCAGCAAGGTCACTTTGTCCGGTCTTCTTAATTTCATTGATGGAATTTGGTCCGCTTGTGGCGGGGAAAGAATCATAGTATTTACGACTAATCAAGTCGATAAGCTCGATCCTGCTCTTATACGGAGAGGAAGGATGGATAAGCACATCGAGATGTCGTATTGTTGCTTCGAAGCTTTCAAGGTCCTCGCGAGAAATTATCTAAATATCGAACACCATCCGCTGTTCGAAACAATCGGCAGGCTGTTCAGCGAGACCAACATGACTACTGCCGATGTCGCGGAAAACTTGACGCCTAAGTCTGACGAAGAAGATGTGGAGGCTTGCTTGGGGAACTTGATACAAGCGCTCGAAGCGGCGAAGAAGGAAGCGACGGAGAAAGCCGAGGAAGAAGCACCAGTGAAGGTGAAAAGGGAAGAGCGAGAGAAGAGATTGAAGTGGTTGAGGGAAACTAAAAAGAAGGTGGATCATCTGCTAAAGAAGGGGAATTGAGCTAAAATAGGGAAGTGTTTAGTAGTCCAGATGAATATTTCTCACCCTGTTATTACTTTGAATACAGTTCATTCCATTGCAGATCGTCGAATTCTCTGTTTGCTTCGTTTTTCTTATCTGTCGGGAGTTCTGCTAAACAATCGTGAGTCCTTCAATTTCCTCGAACTACATGGTCCTCCGATTAAATTTCGGTTCGATCTCACGTTCTGAGTCTATCTGTTCCATCTGCATCATCTCTTTATCTTTGTTTCCTGCGAAAATACACCACCCCTTGATGATGATGAACAGCACAACTCTTCTGTTCTCACCCTGTTTCCAAAATACCATTTCACTGATCAGTCCATCCACACTGTTAACAAAGCATGTTGCCAGAAGCGTAGGGTTACCGTGCGTGTATAAGTAATTCCTTAAAAGCGTCGGCAAATTCGTAACTGAATTAGCTTGCAGCGAGATTATGTTTGAGGCCGTGCAGCGCAGGAATTGGACTTTAGGCGGAACCTGGACTCGATCTTGGCCGCGAGCATCGCCATGGTTTCGCCGATGTTGAAAGAAGAGAAGATGGCCACTCTTCAGGGTGAAGCTTTCTTGCTTGTTAGCCAGAGGTTTGCATGAACAATACTAAACTGAAAACAGTTATAACAGTTGGGATTTTTCAAAAGACTAGGAAGAAGTCTTTGAGAAACTTTGAAGTTTTTGGTTGATCAACTTTGAGAGATCATGAATCTTCTTCTCCTCAATCTTTTTTCTTTTTTTCCGAAGATCAAGAAACATTTTTATCCATACGCTTGGTCTGGCTCGTATTTACTCGGTGCATCTGGAGATGTATAAGCTCGTTCGCCATCGACGTGCCGAAAGTTAGAATATTTCTATATAAAAAACAGCAAATGCCCAACGTACAAGTTAGAGCTTTGCTCGAAACACGACTCGAACCTGTGATATCGTGAAAGATGATGATGTGAACCTTTTTTTCTAGGCAAAAGGACACTATAAGTGCCATAAGTTGTGTACGGAGATCACTTTGGTGCCATACTTTTTTTTGGATCACTTTGGTGTCAACCTTTTTTAAAAAGGATCACTTTAGTGCCAATGCTGACATGGTCGCCGGAAATCTGACGTGACTCTTTTTTTATTAATTTCCGATGCTGACATGGCTCACCAGAAATCTGACGTGGCTCGTCGGAAATCTGACGTGGCTCTTTTTTTGGCCGGAATTTTGGCCGGAGTCACTAAAGTGATCTCTTTTCCTCCGACTTGGCACCAAAGTGATCCGAAAAAAAGTTATAGCACCAAAGTGATCTCCGTACACAACTTATGACACTTATAGTGTCCTTTTGCCTTTTTTTCTGTATCATATGACTTTCCTCTTCCGAGTTAATTTTTTTCTTGTATAGCCTATACACATCTTCTCAATCAATACAAAATATCAGGGCATGGACCTGCTTTATGATATTTGCATGCACTTTCGGCCCGGTAGCCCTGCACATTGGTGGACTAAACGGTACATAGTCTCAGCCTAACACTAAGGACGCGAATGACAACATTTCTCTTTTCCGGCCTATTTCTGGCTAGAAATTAAGGTACCGCATGATAACCATTCTGGTTCTGTCCAGAACTGGTTTTTTGTTTCCAGAATCAGTTTTGGACCAGAAACCCGTTTGTTGACGCAATTTCATTTTTCTATTACTAGGACAAGTTTTTGTTCCAGAACCGATTCTGAACTAGAAATCAGAACAAAAAAAAAGTTGATTTTCTATTTCTAGGCCAAAAATGAGAATCATTTCTGAGAGAACTCTTTTTTTAAAACACATGTTTATCTGGAAGTCACGATCTTTGAGGTGGGAAAAAAAAGCAAAAAATCAAAAATTTCAAAACTTCACATAATGGTTTAAAATCTGTGGCTACCCACTTTGAGCGAAATTTAATTTTTTTTAGGTGCCGAAAAAAATATAAAAAAAGTCAAAAAATCAAAAATTTCAAAATTTCACAAAATGGCTTAGAATACCTATGGCCACCCACTTTGAGCGAAATTTAATTTTTTTTAGGTGCCAAAATAATAAAAAATAATCAAAAAATCTAAAATTTAAAAACTTCACAGAATGTCTTAGAATACATGTGGCCACCCAATTTGAGCGAAATTTAATTTTTTTTAGATACCGAAAAAAATTAAAAAAAGCAAAAAATAAAAAATTTCAAAATTTCACAGAATGGCTTAGAATACCTGTGGCCATCCACTTTGAGCGAAATTTTAATTTTTTTATGTGTCGAAAAAAATAAAAAAATAAAAAATTTCAAAACTTTACAGAATGGCTTAGAATACCTGTGGCCAACCACTTTGAGCGAAATTTAATTTTTTTTAGATGCCAAAAAAATAAAAATAAGCAAAAAATAAAAAATTTCAAAACTTCACAGAATGGCTTAAAATACCTGTGGCCACCCACTTTGAGCGAAATTTTATTTTTTTAGGTGCCTAAAACAATTTTAAAAAAAGCAAAAAATTAAAAATTTTAAAACTTCACATAATGGCTTAGAATACCTGTGGCCATCCATTTTGAGCAAAATTTAAATTTTTTTAGTTGCCGAAAAAAATAAAAAAATAAAAAATTTCAAAAATTCACAGAATTGCTTAGAATACCTATGGCCACCCACTTTGAGCGAAATTTAATTTTTTTACTTGCCGAAAAAAAAAAGCAAAAAAGCAAAAATTTCAAAACTTCACAGAATGGTTTAGAATACCTGTGGCCACCAACTTTGAATGAAATTTTATTTTTTTTTAGGTGCCGAAAAAAATAAAAAAATTCAAAAACTTCAAAACTTCACAGAATGGCTTTGAATACATGTGGTCATCCACTTTGAGTGAAATTTAATTTTTTTTAGGTGCCGAAAAAAATTTAAAAATAAAAAATACCATTTGGGCACCTAAAAAAATTAAATTGCACTCAAAGTGGGTGGTTAGAGGTATTCTAAGTCATTCTGTGAAATTTTAAAATTTTTAATTTTTTTATGTTTTTATTTTTTTTTCGGCACCTAAAAAAATTTAAATTTCACTCAAAGTGGGTGGCCACAGATATTCTAAGTCATTCTATGAAGTTTTGAAATTTTTGATTTTTTTGCTTTTTTTCACCTCAAAAAATTAAAATTTCACTCAAAGTGGGTGGCCACAGGTATTTTAAGTTATTCTGTGAAGTTTTGAAATTTTTGAGTTTTTGAATATTTTTAGGCACCTTAAAAAATTTAAATTTCACTCAAAGTGTGTGGCCACATGTATTCTAAACTATTCTGTGAATTTTTAAAATTTTTGGAATTTTTTATTTTTTGATTTTTTTGGGCACTTAAAAAAATTTAAGTTTCACTAAAAGTGGGTGGCCACAGGTATTTTAAGTCATTCTATGAAGATTTGAAATTTTTGATTTTTTTTTTTTTTTGAAAAAATTCAACAAATTTCCTATTTTCTAGAAAAATCTGAATTTTTTTATTTTTTGGAAATTGTGATGAATTTTTCTAGAATTTTTCAATTTTTTTGGATTTTTTGAATTTTTTTGAGATTTTTAGGAATTTTTTGGATTTTCTAATTATTTTTATTCCATTTTTAAAAAAATGGATTTTTTTTCCTAGAAATAGAATTTTGTGTTGTTTATCAAACGAGTTTTTGTTTCAGGAAATAGAAATTTTGTGCTGTTATCAAACGGGCTTCTGTTCCAGAAATAGAAATTTTTTGTTGTTATCAAACGGGTTTCTTTTCTCAGAAACTCATCCTGGAACCAGAAATAGAACAATCTATTTCTGTTTCAGGAACTCATTCCGGAACAGAATGGTTATCATTCTCTACCTAAAAATCTATTTCTCTTTTCCATACGAGTTTCTGAGCAAAAAGTAGCGTTTGATAACGACACAAAATTTATGTTTCGGAATGGAAATTCGTTTGATAACGACGCAAAATTTCTATTCCTACCGGCCAGCGAGCGGCGACGGCGAACGGGCGGCCAGCGAGCGGCGTTGGCAAAGGGCGACAGCGGATGGCCGGAGGGTAGCCGGCGAGCGGCGGTGGCGATGGCGGCGACGGCGGGTGGCCGGCAGTGGTGGGCGAGCGGTGAGCGGGCCGGCGGCGGCGGATGACCAACAAGCGACGGCGGATGGCCAACCTGCGAAAGGCGGTGGTGGTGGACGGCCGGCGAGCGGCGGTGGCGACGAGCGAGCGCATGGCCGCGAGCGGCGGCCACGGCGATGGGCAATGGCAGATGGCCGGCGAGTGGCGGCAGGGGGCGACAGGCGACGGCCGACTAGCGGCAGGCGACGGTAGACGGCCGGCGAAAGGCGATGGCGGGGGACGGCCAGCTGACAAGCGGCGGATGGCCGGCCGACCAGCGACGGACGGCCGGCCGACCAACGACGGACGGCTGGTCGGCGAGCAACGGTGGGCGGCAAGGGTGAGCAACAAAAGAGAGTTGTTATTTCTGTTTCTGTTACAGAAATAGAAAAGTAAAAGTTTTAACTTCTCATTTTTGTTCCAAATCTATTTATTGGCCAAAATTTATCCCAGAAATAAAAAAAAATGAAATTATTTTACCAAACGGATTTCTGTTCCAAACCTATTCCCGGAATCAAAAAAATAGAAAAACAGGAAAACAAAATGGTTATCATTCGCGTCCTAATAGTTCCTAAATTTTGGTTCAGCGTGCAATGACATTCTTAGATTTCTTTTTTAATTCGTCCAATATGATCCATAAACTATTCTTAAATGTTCAACGTAATCTTTTTTGTTCAGTCAAACAACAAATCAGGCCTTATTTGATGACATGGAATATTTAGGTTTGGACTTTTGAAATGATGGGACCAACATGCGACTATGAATTCCATTTTCTTATCCATCTTCTCTTACATACGTAGTTATTATTATTTTTATCATCTATCGTTAAAACTTAACAGATCGAATGGCATGTTGGCAAATTCCGTTACTAGTAGATTCATTGAAAGATATTGGATCATGCGTGCTGTGTCGCCAAGTGGTGCCACACTGCCTCCTATAAAGGGGCACTATCCCGAGATGAAAATCTTCGAGGAAACATAGCGTGGCCGGATGTAACAGGCGAGATCCGCGGGTTCTAATAGTAACATAAAAAAGAAAAAGGGAAAATAAATTGGCTTGGTACATGTCGAGGCACATGAGTTCTTATGATACGTGTACACATATGTATGTTTTGATGGCTCTAGTAAAGTGAAAAGTGAAAAGTGAAAAGTGAAAGGTAGAATCAAAAACTTTTCCAAGAGAACATATCCATTAATAAGGCAATGAATGAGGAGGCATACCATTAATAAATTAGCTTGGTCATCATCCTTTGCTTTAGCAATAAATGGTACAATGAATACAATCTGCAAATTTATCTACTCCTTGAATGAGCAAGAGATAGAAATGTGACACGAAATTGACTAACATTCGAAAGGGTAGCTAATCTTTCATAAAATGGTCACAATGATCAGCCGCAACCTTACTCCTTTACCATACTTCTTTAATCCTTACTCTTCTTATGGGCGGAAAATCGAGAGGAGCGGGCGAGGCTAGCTCTCATGGATCCGAGGGATGGAGCGAAGAAGCGTGCGAAGCCCAATTGAATTTCGAACGAGAGCAATTGGCTTTCGAAATCCCCACCCGAGATTACATCCAATCCTATCTCCTCCATCCTCCCTCTTTACTGATCCGGCTTCACTCTCTTTCCACTTCAATCAACGGGTTCCACGTAGCCCGACTAGCACTAGGAGAGCCCAAAAAAGAAAACCTCAAACAAATCAGGCGTGCTCATATGTATCATTGAACAAGGCGGGCCTTACACGGGACCCATCTAACCTAGCGGTGCATTCCACTCGGGCTCATATGCATCAGACACGGGGAAGAGAGTTACATTAGCTTCTTTTCATGGCATTATGTGCGCCCACACAGCGCGCACACACAAGCAATAAATACTCAAAGAAGAAAAAGAGGGCATGTCAAGGAATGCAGCTGAGCAGCTGAGAGCTGACACACTCACACGACACGCCCCCACCCCGACAACAACTCATAATAATATCATATCAAGATCAATACCAACGCAAACAAGCGAGCCCTAAAATGTTGGCTTTTGCACGTGGCTTCCCTCCATTCCTGTCCTGTTTCGAGCGACTCATCGCTGCTCGCCCCCACATCCCCTCACCTCCAGGGGCACTCCTGTCTTCTTCACTCGGATCTCCCCACCCTCCCTCCATTTCTCTCCACCTCGAAAAGCAAAGCAAGTCACGTTCTTGAAATCATCCCTCGAAAAATTCACTCCGACCCCAGACATTTTTTAAATGTCCAAAGAGCGACGAAGCTCACATGCTTCCTTTCATGCGGGCCTTTAACGAGTGCTCGAAGGACACTTGCTAGCGACATTCGGGTGGATATCCGTAGGGCGAGTTTAATATCTTCTTGCTACAAAGTGATCGCTCGCCTCGATTCATCGGCTTCGAATGCATATCGCCTCTTTATAAGATATTTTCTCTGTCTCTCGCCCTATGAACCGCGAAAGCATAGAAACGGCATTCGGTATCTCTATCTCTGCCTCTCTCTAAGAAATAACACTGAGACAACGGCTGCCAGCCGGCGCCGATTGCCTCGTCCTGCCCTTCTTAGCTAGTTAAAAAGAAGAAGAAGTTATACGGCTTGGACTAATTTTAATACACTCCATCCCCATTTATGGAATAGTCTAGGAACTGATGGAAGATAGGTTTCATCTGAGCTGTTGCATGCACCATGATATAGGAATAAGAAGAACTTCGTGAAAACTGCAAACTAGAAGCCTAAATAAAGAAAAGGTGAACCCAGATATATGGATGGAGATCAGAAACTATATATAACATATTTTCTTGGAAAATGCGGTCCGGCGAGAAAATAATGGTGGGTGAGAAAGAAGTAGTAACAAGAAAGGAGAAAAAAAAAAATCAAGAAAATGACCTCCCACAACAATCTGAGCTCAAATAATGTCTCTCTTTCCTTCTAATTTTGTACCAGATATTCCCACATTTTCCCTCTGCGGTTTCTCGCCGGCCAAAGCATTTTCCCATCGGAATTCAATCCGAAGAACCTTCACCTCGTTTTCTTTGCTTGTCCCTCGCGTCCTTGTTTTCTTGGTGTAGACTGAGGACTACAATACGGAGGAAGCGTCGTCGATCTCGCGTTGTTTCTCGGGGAGATTGGCCGATCCGGAGATATGAATCAGCTTCTGGAGGATGACGACCTGGGTCCGTAACCGGAGGATGTAATCCGCCGTTTCTTGAAACAGCTCTTCGGCGGCGACGGTGCCGTCGCCGCCGCCGTCCCTGGCGACTGGGATGAGGTTCTTGAGGGCCTCTAGCTTCTCCGAGACGACGTCATTGGAGGAGGAGGAGGAGGAGGAGCAGGTGCCTCCGCCCAGCCTCCGCCTCTTGCTCATGCAGGCATGCGCTAGCTTGTTGGCTCCTTGCCGTCGTCGCCTCCTTGATGCGGTGGTTGAGGAGGCCGTCGCTGTTCTTGATCTTGTTCTTGTCGACGAGCTCTTCTTTTTGTTCATGGGCGTTGAGCTCATGTTAGAGAGAGAGAGACAGAGATGTTGAATATGTTAGGTTACTCTCTAGTTACGGGGTTTATGTAATGGAGATTTGGGAAATGGCCCTTGGGTTTGTGAGTTCTTACGGAATTGCCATTGGTTTGGATCTTTCTTCTCATTTTTCATGTTGCTCTTCTTCTTTGTTTTTTAAACGAAATGCATTTGTCTTTTGAATTTATTTGTAGTCCGAGTCAATTTTTCCAAGGAAAACGAGAGATGTATATAGAGTATCGTTTGCCAAGTTTGATTTACAAAAAGTGGTGGCGAATATCATATTGATAAAAATTTGAATATGGCTCACTCATTTAAGTATTCACTCATTGTTGTACGTATCATTTTGTAAATGAACTGCGTTATCACTTTGGAGTCGATCTTCTTCTGAGAGCGCTCGAGTAAGTATCGTATCCATCAAGGGCGTGAGCTCATGTGTCAAAACTCGCTGAAAACTGCTTGGACCTCTCATAATTAAAGTTTGCAGTTAATTCCGTTTGTCATGGAATTATTTACCTAAATCATGTAAAGGCCTTTTGTTCTCTCAATCTAACTTTACCGACAACCGCATCTTGGGGATCGAATCCAGAAAATTTCGGTATGGTACAAATTGATCCAGAAATGGAGGACAAACCAGAAGCAATTTTTCCATGTGCAAAACGGGGATTTGTTTATATGTTAGACCGAGTCCAAAAAAGCACAAGGAAGATGTTCATATTCGATATGCCAATCACCTAAGTGTACCATCACCAGTTTTGTAGATCAGCTTTAGCTTAGCTACTACAGTTGAAAAGATAATTCGCCCGAAAAAGCATTAGGAAAATGGCGAGATCTCTTAAACTTAAATTTTCGCCCCATTTTTATCGAAAAGTTTCATAATTTGCCCGATTTTCTTCACGTCCTCATCCTCCTCTTCCCCAGACAAAGCCTAGGGGATCAAACGTAGCATGATCAGTTCTTCCGGCATGCTTATGAACTTTTTAGATGAATTTCGACATCAACAACGATTCGTGGGTGTGAAATAATACCATTTTTCTATTTGTAGAAGTGTACAAATTGCGCAAATTGGTAATAGAAGAATTTCCAATTGTTTGCGACCTCGATCAAGTGATTTGATAGAGAGAGAGAGTGTCGACCAAAGAGCACAATAAGTGAATTGAGGGTCAAGGAAATCATAAAATTTCTTTTCGACCTAACTCACAAGATAAAACTTGCACAGGATCGAAGACGGTCAAGAAAAGATAACATGGTTTTATCGAACGTTTTACACATGAACGGTTTTCATGGTCCAGTATCTTATGCTCCCACCCAGTTGAACCTCTACAAGCAAGATAAGATACTTTTCCATTGCAATAAATGAGGCCAAATGATGGCACACCTATTGGTTGGCCAACCCTAAACACTTTTACTTACATCTAATTTATGTTCATAAGAACAGGAGAGACCGAATTTGTTTCCTGCGCACATTACTTTATGACTAGACACATGTGTCATCAATGCCCTCCACACATCTAGGGCATGGAAAAAGATCGAAATATCTCTCCCTCTCTTGCTAAGTAGGAGAAGTAGAGGAACAGCAAATAACCGGAGTAAAGTTATCGAATCATGCATGAATGAGGGGGGTTTGGGCCCCCACACGATTTAATGGTCCAGATCGAATTGAATCGTGACACGATGGTGGGGACTTAGGTAAGAGCCTGATTAATAATGGGTCGGTCTTTTATTTTTATTTATTTTTTGTTTCCCTCCCACCCCTGTTTTTTTGGTGTGTTTTTCTCTGCTATCTTTATTTTTTATATATTCTTCTTTTGGGGGGGGGGGGGGGGTGGGGGGGGGGGTGGGGCGGAGGGAATGTGAGAGTTGAAAAGGAAGAAGCGGGAATTGAAACATTGGCGCAAGTTGCGAGCTCTCACGCCAACCAGCGATCCATCTTTGTGCTGCAAAAAGCCTGCCTATCTGGAATGGCACATGTGAAGTACGGGGAAGGAAAGGCCATTTCAATGTATATGCACATGTGGTTGCCCAGTTGTATCCCCCCACATGTTTGCAGGATTGATGAACCCCCGTTGCTTATATATCTAACGGCAGTTCAGAGCTTCGATTAACCTCGCAGTATTTGTTCTCCTCTCTGAAGAAATTTAGGGTAATGGCTGAAAGCAGAAATGGTTGAAGAGATGATATGAGAAATGGGTGAATGATGAGGAGGAGATAGTGACATGACGAGAACGTGAGCTGACACGCAAGATCTTGCAGATGCTAAAAACCTCAGACCCGCAAGATTCATTTTGAAAACCCAGTTCGGGAAAATGTTTTTAGGATGATCCAGAAGGATTAAAGGAAAGATGATGCAGAATTTATTAGTGGTGCGTTTCTGGACCGGTTGGACGGGCAGAAGTCCAAACGGAAGACGAAACGGTGATGCGACTAGAACCAGCGGACCCAGTTGACGACATCGGATCGGGCTCAAATTCGATCGTTTGAAGCGAAGCAGCAGTCTGAACACAACTCACCGCTTATGGCCATGACTAACGATGGATTTTAGCGATTCGAGATCGTTTACATGGGTTTTTCTATTATTTTAATATTTTTTATTGATTTTAATTTTAAGGGTGGTTTTGTAATTTTGATATTTTATGCTTTATAGTCCTAGTAGGGTTTGGTTTAGGGATATCTAAGCTTGTTTTAGGGTTCTTTTTTAAACACAGAACATTATCATCAATATTGAATTTCGGAATTTTTTTCTCTAAGCAAGGTTTTGCTTGAATTACTCGCGGAACGCTGCGTCAGGTGGTATCAGAGCCTATGGCGACTGGCGGTGGTCTTCGTGACGATGATCAAGGTAGCGAATGATAACCATTCTGTTCCAGAATGAGTTCCTGAAACAGAAATAGATTTTTCTATTTATGGTTCCAGGATGAGTTTCTTAGAAAAGAAACCCGTTTGATAATGACCAAAAATTTCTATTTCTAGAACAAAACCCGTTTGATAACAAAATTTCTATTTCGAAACAAAAACCCGTTTGATAAACAACACAAAATTCTATTTCAGGAACAAAAATCCATTTTTTTTTAGAAATGGAATAAAAATAATTAGAAAATCCAAAAAATTCCTAAAAATCTCAAAAAAAATTCAAAAAATCCAAAAAAAAAATTTGAAAAATTCTAGAAAAATTCATCACAATTTCCAAAAAATAAAAAATTCAGATTCCTGGAAAATAGGAAATTTGTTGAAGTTTTTCAAAAAAAATCAAAAAATCAAAAATTTCAAAACTTCAAAGAATGACTTAAATTACGTGCCACCCACTTTTAGTGAAATTTAAATTTTTTAGGTGCTTAAAAAAAATCAAAAATTTCAAAACTTCACAAAATAGTTTAGAATACATGTGGCCACCCACTTTGAGTGAAATTTAAATTTTTAAGGTACCAAAAAATTCAAAAACTCAAAAATTTCAAACTTAGAATAGCTTAGAATACAGTATGGCCACCACTTTGAGTGAAATTTTAATTTTTGAGGTGAAAAAAAAGCAAAAAATAAAAAATTTCAAAACTTCAGGAATGACTTAGAATATCAGCCACCCACTTTGAGTGAAATTTTAATTTTTTAGGTCTTGAAAAAAAATTAAAACATAAAAAAAATCAAAAATTTTAAAACTCAGAATGACTTAAAATGCCTCTAGCCACCACTTTGAGTGAAATTTAATTTTTTAGGTGCCCAAATGGTATTTTTATTTTTTGATTTTTATTTTTTTCGCACCTAAAGAAAGTTAAATTTCACTCAAAGTGGATGGCCACATGTATTCTAAGCCATTTTGTGAAGTTTTGAAATTTTTTATTTTTGCTTTTTTTCCTTTTTTTCGGCACATAAAAAAATAAAATTTCATTCAAAGTTGGTGGCCATAGGTATTCTAAGCCATTCTCATGTGAAGTTTTGAAATTTTTTTCTTTTTTTGCTTATTTTTATTTTTTTATGGCACCTAAAAAAAATTAAATTTCGCTCAAAGTGGGTGGCCACAGGTATTTTAAGCAATTCTGTGAAGTTTTGAAATTTTTATTTTTTATTTTTTTCGGTACCTAAAAAAATTTAAATTTCGCTCAAAGTGGATGGCCACAGGTATTCTGCCATTCTGAAGTTTTAAAAAATTTTATTTTTTGCTTTTTTTTTTTTTTAGGCACCTAAAACAAATAAAATTTCGCTCAAAGTGGGTTCGCACGATGGTATTTTAAGCATTACGTGAAGTTTTGAAATTTTTGCTTTTTTCTTATTTTTATTTTTTTGGGCATCTAAAAAAAATTAAATTTCGCTCAAATTGGGTGGCCACAGATATTCTAAGCCATTCTGTGAAGTTTTGAAATTTTTTATTTTTTTATTTTTTTCGACACATCAAAGATCGTGACTTCCAGATGAACATGTGTTTTGAAGAAAGAGTTCTCTCATAAATGATTCTCATTTTTTTCTAGAAATAGAAAACCTACTTTTTTTGTTCGATTTCGGTTTAGAATCGGTAACAAATTGTTCAAAATAGAAAATGGAATTGCGTTACCAAACGGGTTTCTAGTCCAAAGCTATTTCAGAACGTCAACGAAACGAAATGGTTATTATGCGCTACCCAAGAGGCTGGAGCCCATCCTCACGATGCGCGAACATTTGGAGCGAGCGTAATGGAACGCTTGGATCAGATCGATCAAAGTCTTCTCGTTTGAAGAACGATTTGATGAGTTAACGTCCGATTCGAACGTCTCGGCGTTGATGTGAACCGGCGAAACGGCCCGGGTGCGATCTTGCTCGCGGTGATCTTGTTGATAGGCCTGTTCCTGTCCGCAGGCAGAATAACCCTCTATTTTCAAAGAGTTCGGAAGAAGAAGAAAACGATTATTTTGATGAGAGACGTGCTGATTATGGCGGCAGACATCATCATGGAGGATTTCAAAGAGGATATAATAGGAGAGATGGAAGACGACGTTACGACGATCGTGAAGGTAACGACTTTAGATTGAAAGTCGATAT